TTAAAATAAAAAAATTCTAAGTAAAAATAATTAAAAATTCTTAATAAGTTAATAATAATATTAAATACTTAATAAAATAAAAAGATTAATTAATAAAAAAATATTAAACCTAAAAACTTTATAAGTATTTTATTAAAAAAAAAGCTAAGTTTTTATTAAAAGCTTATAAGTTAAAATAGCTTATTAAACCTTATAATAATTAAATTAAATAATTACTTAAAAGTAAGCTTAATAAAAAAAAAGCTAATATTATATAAAAAAAGCCTAATAAATTATAAAGCCTAATAAAAAGGCTTTATATTAATATAAAACTTATTAGTTATATAGCTAAAATATATACCTAAGTAAAAATTTTAGGTTTAAGTGTTTTTTTTATATATATAAGGTAATTACCTTTCTCTTCTTTTCTTAAAATAACTTAAGACCTTTAATATCCTATGAGATTATTATTAAATTAAGCCCTTTTTGCTCTAAGCCTTTATATTAAACCCTTGTTATATAATGAAACCTGTGCTGGTTCAGGCGCGGCGCTCACCCACCATCTCAGAATCATTTCATCGTTTGAGTGACGAATGTAAATAGATGAACAAGGTATCCGTGATAATGCCGTAGGGATTACTTGTGTACTCGCCACTCCAAGATATTACTACGATCTCTCTTATTAAGTTTTAAGGTTATTGCGACCTTTTCCAGGGCAAAGGCCCAACAGATCGTAAGCCCAACAAAGGGGCTTCACCGACAAAGGACTTGTGCTTCCAAAACACAAAAATCGCACTTTAAAAGTATTGACAATAAACTGCCCAGCCAAATTCCATGTTATAGCAATGTAACGCGCGACTTGATTGAACAACAGCACGATAACATGTGACGGGACCGTGAGGTAGGTGGCATTGAAGCAGTACATAATTCAAGTAAATGTGTAAAAGTATATAAATACAAATTGAGTGAAGGACAAGAACGAAAATGATATTTTTTACTCCCCCGTTTTCTTTCTTCATTATGCTTCTGCCACACCAGTAGAGCTTAAGCCGCAGGCACACATTGAGAATACCACACCCCGAAGTGCTTGCAGACAAGGCCCTTGGAACAAGCAGTTGGGCCTTTCCAGTCTCTGCCGCCGCATTGGCCCCAGACTTTGGATTCACCCGAGTTACTGGGAGGCTTAGGAGTAGGCGGGTTTGGCTTCGGCTTCGGCTTCGGGTTTTCAGGAGGCTTTTGGTCAGTTGAAGATCCTCCAAGCTTTTGACGACTATCAGCCCATTGCCTCATGCGCTGCTCCTGGCCCAAGGTAAATTCTGACCTGCAGGACCTTGAAAGGTAATCAGTACTGTATTCAAATTCGCCTGCCGCAAAACAGACACAACTTACGAGTAATCCATAAAGTTCAAACTGTTGCTCGGATGCAGCCCGCCACAAGCGTAAGCACCGGGCCGGCCGTCTGGGAGCTTGGGCTGGTTTTCACATCTGCCCGTCGGCTTCTCCTGGGGAAAGGTATCGTCGATGGTATCTCCATCTTTGCAGCCGCCTTCGAAAGTGTGTCGCAAGCCCAGCCAGTGGCCGACCTCGTGTGTGGTGAGCGGGCTTAGGTCAGACCACGAACTGCCGCCCGGGACAGACGTGGCGATCATGACGCACCCGTCACGCTCCATGGTCGCTTGCGGTACAGTCAAGCTATTACCCCTGGGAACAATGGGGTACGTGCAATGCCCACCGATGGGGCCTCCTGAAATCAGCTTGCCTGGGATTTTGGCGACATAATAGAGGTTCAGGTCTGCGTATCCGCCCCGGCGCAACTTCTTATTCATTGCAGGATCGTTGGAATGGGCCCAGGCACTGTTTTGAAGGTAGTCCGTCTCGGCGTAGGTGAAGGAGATTCCAGCCCGGCTGTAGCGTTTGTTTAAAAGATCAATGTCCTTCTTCACATTCTCTTCCTACAGACGGCTTAGGATAATAGTGGGTGAATTGGAGCAGTCAACACTTACAGATACATAGCCGCCTTTGCTGTTCTTTTCAGAGTATACAACGTGTGCATAAACTCGAAAGTTGTAGCGTTTCTGCGCTTGACGGGTTTCAAGAGACGAACTATTCTGTAGAAGAGTCTTGGAATATTCCACGAATTCCACACTTGGAGGCGCTTCGTCGCACTGCGGTACTTCTTCTTCTTGTCGTTGCTGTATGGCGCTTGCATTGATAGCACTTGCCATGAGAATGGCCATAAGGAAAGTAGGAAAATACATGGTGAAAGACCAGCCAGTCGTCTAGGACTGAGTCGTTTAAAAAAAAAAGAAAGAAGAGCGAAAGAAACAGAGAAGAGATATACACAAATGTGATGTATGTGCAACAAGACTACAAGTTGGAGGGAAAACCATTATATTTATATGTTGGGCACGCAGCCTTTCTCCTAGCAGAAAGCCCTTCCATGTAATCATCTACTCTCAACAAATAAGGCATGAATTTCCCCGTCAACTGGTTCGGTAATGTCAGGGGTCGTTGCTGTTGCCGCTGGACTTGAAGCTAGACGTCCGTTTTACTATTGCAAGTTACGAAAGCAGTAATCTCCGGGCTGGTCCGGCTTTGCAATTGCCACTATCGGCTAGAGTCCGACTTGCTAGGGGCTCCAGAACCACCCTGGGGAAATATGCCAAGTGTGATACTGTATAGAGCATAATCTTGCTGTCGTTTAAATTGTACTTGGCGGTTATGCATGGTTGGAGCTAGCATTGAAGAGAGACTGGACTCTGCACCTGAGCCCGGCGGGTCAACGGTACATGTAGGGCTACGATGCGAAAATTTCAGATGTAATAGATTATGTAAACTGGGGACCGAAATTAAGGATTGTCTCAACTAACCCCGTCCCGCTCGTCTGTAGACTTTAGAGGGTGAACGTGTGGGGCAGGAATACATGTAAAGTTCTTGGTCTGCTTGGCATAGCTTGCGTGAACTCGTTACGAAGAGTCTAGTTCCATTTAAATCCCATATTGAGGAACCATTAGAGGACAAGTTTGGCGCCCGGCGGCTTCAACCTGCTTCTTCGATCCACGGTTCACAAACGACCGGTCGTACTGGATGCGCTGTAGTTGATATAGTGCGCTTAGACTGGGGACATTCGTTCAATGTTGCTTTTTTCGCAGTGCGAACTCGTTCAACTTGATCATCCAAGGCCATCAAGCTGCTTGCCAACCCCATTTCATGTTTGGACCGAACTTCCCGTAACTCTCTGCCCGTGACACGGGCTCTGTCAAGTCTTTGTATAGACCTTTGACAGGCGCAGGCTCCAATCGCGTTGCCTTTGTAAGAGTTACCTGTTGACAACAGCCACCCTCGTATGGATCGTTGAGACAGGGAGACTCCACCAGTTCTTCTCCACAGTTCCTGCCAAGCTCGATAACATCTGGGCCATGTAACAGAATGCTAGGAAGTCTTCCGTAATCCCAATCCATGCAGTCCACGCCACTCTTGGCTCAGCCATTGCAGGGTGGTTTCATGTGAGGAATCGTATCAATCTGGAAGAAGCCGAACTTCCCCGGCTGCCCCACAGTTCTCCTTGTATCACGATTTCCAAAGCTAGCGATCGCATTGAATGCGGAAGGTCCTTGATTCAAGCCAGGTATTGATGAAATCAAGCCCTTTAGTCTAGTTGAAAATTGAGGATATTCGAAAGGACCACCATGTAACTGCAAAGGCTGTGACCAAAGGTCCCTTGAACATGACGATGGTTACACATGGGCTCGAGACCTAGTTGATGCCTTGGGCTTGATATAAATAAGGGTTGTCTGTTACACGGAAATGGCCCTTTTACCCAAGTGCTGCAGTCACGGGATTAGGGCAGAAGACCCTCACTGACTCCTGGTATTTATAGAGGCCTTTGGTCCCTCAAGGCCTTAGAAAACCAAGGACCTTTGATACCGAAGGCTGTTATTGGGTGAATTGAGCTATTGCTCCAAGCCCTCTACTAAGCCCCTGTCACATTATCTGCGCTCTGAGGCCTTGAGAAAAACCAGCGACCTTTGGTACTAAAACGAATTATTAGCTATATACGATTTTGTTCTCAGCCCTTATAATTGTGGCCTTGTTATAAACGGAAATTACGTCCCTAAATTATATGGCTTTACGTGGTATGTGGACCAAGATATAAAATACAAGCCATAGCAAGTCATAATACACATTACGGGGTTCCTCTCACCCAGATATCGGGCCATTTTAATATAGCAGTTGAGAGAATGTAAATTTATTGTCAAGAGTAGCGACTCGCAGCGTTAAAGAGTCAGTCAAAGGCATCAATCATGTCGCTGTTACCGAAATGTTGAGATGTCGCTCAACTTCCAACATGAAGCAATGTCAATCTCTTTTGTCACGAGTTTCGCTGCATTAATTGCCACTATTTGAATCCTGCGCATCAATGGCAACAAGGCTCTGCCTTTGTGGTTTCAAGACGGCGCAGTGGAATGGCCGTGGATAAAGGTAGGCCAGCGCCGGACAAGGCTGATGTGCGCACAGCCATGAAGAATGGGCGAGCTATATTGTTGGGAGATGAGGTTAAGCACAGGCGGTGGAAGCTTTCTATTGACTCTATGCATGAGTCGAGTTGGAGCGCAAGCCTCCTTGGCGCAGATGACCTTTCAAACATCCACTCATCTCGATTCCATCGGGAAACTTCTTTTTGCTATTTACTACCTGCATTGTATAGGACATTTTCTTCTACCTGGTTGATCCGGAGCAAACAGCATACTTTTATCTATTTTTGACAAAAAACGGTTCCCTACTAGTCAAGGACAAGTATCTCCAATACATCGACAGATCCTCTTCATCTTTGTTCCGCATATAACCTAGTGAGTATACACCTAAAGTAGGTCACGCCAAAAGGACCTACTCCACGAGTCGAGGGGAGGAAAAGGAGTGAGAAAAGAGCAGTTATTCGCATAACAGCGCTCTCTCACTGCGTCAAGTCACACACGTGACTGCGGCTGGCCATCTCCGAACCCATGAGCAGAGCCATCCTATTCCATCAAAGACATTGTGCTCCAAGCACTGTCTCGGCGTGGGAGCGGAGCCGGTATGGTCCTATTACGCCTGAATCTTGGACTTGACCCAGTTCTCCAGACCCTTGAAGCTGATAATCTCTTGTACGCTGGGAGGCAGTTCGCTCACCTTTTCCTCCCAGACGGTGCCGTCCTTCTCCGTAATCACAGCCTTGGAGCGGCGCACATCCCACAAAAGCTTCCAGCCCGTACGGCGAGTCAGAGGTCGCTCCGCATCGTCCTTGAATGACTTGCGTAGGTGCTCAACCAGGCGGGGCATTTCGAGACAGACCAAAGCATTGTTGATGCCGTTGCGGCTAAAGATGTTCCCGAGACTTCCTGCGATGACGAGAGGAATGTCTCGTGCCAGAATGGCGGTGGCGGCTTGCTCACGAGAACTTCCTGGGGGGAGGCATCAGCCATCATTCTGTTGAACGGAATAATAATGATATAATGCGAAAAAAAGAAGCCACTTACCACACCCAAAGTTGAAACCGGTCACCAGCACATCACCCGGCTTGGTGAGTTTGGTAAACTCGGTGTCATAGTTCTCCATGCACACCGCAGCCATCTTTTCTTTGGGAAGGTTATCCTGATACGTGTATTTGCCTAGTCTTGCGATTAGTGCCATGATTGCATTCTGGCAATTAGAAAGAGCTTATCCGCGCTTCACATACCTGGGTAGATACCATCCGTGTTGATATTGTCATTGTCCCTATCCTTGGTTAGCGTATACAAAGAAAGCAGTTACGATTTGGGCCATGCTTACAGAAAAACAATTTCGCCCTCGATTTTCTCAGGGAAGCCCGGAAGAATATCGGTCAAGGCTTCATCTTTAGCGGCAGTTGTAGTGGTCTCGTCTTGGCCATTCTCAGCAATAGCAATCATGCTATCCACTTCATTAATCATTTTATCAAAGGCACTCTCAATAGAGCGAGCTTGGTCGGCAGCAAAATCGCCGCTTCCCTCTCCGATAATGACCTTTTCAACACCGTCTGGCTGTTGATACCAACCAGGGCCGGCAATTCTGCCCTTGAGAGCACTGGCAGCAACAACTTCAGGACTAGCAAGATATGCCTTGCTATCTTTGGATCCCATTCGTCCGGGGTAGTTACGGTTCGACGCTGAGATGCCCGTTTCGCCCTCCTCAAGCAGGCCGGTGCCCAACCCAATACACGGGCCACACGAAGCTGGAAGCTGTGTAGCACCGGCATCGAGCAGGACCTTCCAATCACCGGCTTCCTCCGCAATCTGCTGCTCGGAGAGGGAGGCCGCAGCAAGATAGAAGCGAACACCACTAGCAATTTTAGCAGGCTGGCCATCCTTGGCAGCCTCGCGGAAAACACGGGCGGCAGCGGCTATATCACTTGCTCTAGAATTAGTACAAGAAACCAGATAAGCCTTGTCGATCTTGATGTTCTGAGCTTCAAGGTTCTTCAGAGGGTTGGCGATTTTGGGCGAGTTAGGTCCACTGACCCATGGTGAAAGCGTGGATAGATTGATATAGAACTCTTTAGCATACGAAGCCCCTGGGTCAGCGACGAGCCGGTTCTCTGCCATGTCCTTGACTCGCTCGTGGTTAAAGCGCTCCTTGGCAGGGCTGTCGCACACGGCTGCAGCGGTGGCTTTGGCGCGATACCAGGAAATGAGCGTCTCATCAACGGGGAACAGTCCGCCTGTACAGATAAGAGTCAGTTTATCACCCATTTCCATGGGGATGGGAGAATTACTTAGTGCGCCCCATTCCGTACACATGTTAGAGATGGATAAACGGTCATCGATGGGAATGCTCGCCATGGTCTGTTCGGATCCGGCGAATTCCACACAGTGGTTCAAGACGTCATCGGAACCGAACAGGGAGCAGAGACTTAAAATCACGTCCTTCCCTGTGACTCCAAAGGGGAGTAGGCCTGTAAAGGTAACTTTGGCGACAGGTGGGTGTTCTTGAGTAACTGATCAGTAAAAGCACACGTTGAACCTCTACAAGGGGTTGGTATCGTACGTAGCCAAGTGCTTCCCGTCGCCCATATGGCCGCAGCATCGGTGCGCACGACAGGAGTCCCTAGACATCCTATGCCACCATAAATCGGCGAATGAGAATCGCTGGCGACGCAAAGCGTTCCTGGCCAGGCGTGGCCTGCGGTCCCGTTAGCAAGTCGCCTTACACCTCTATAAACGGTATGTGTTTGTGTTTGTTTTACCTTCGTCGATCATGACCTGGTGTCCAATTCCGAAGCCGGCAGGGTAAAAAAAGGTGCCATGTTTACGAGCAAACTCCTCAATCAGCGCGTACTTGCGTTTATTGGACTCTGATTTATTCTGAACGTCGTGATCAAGAGCTGTTCGCGTCGTCAGTTGCTGTGACTGCGATAAGAAGGGGGTGGTTGAGGCAGACGGTACCCATCACGACCTGGGAGCCATCATGGATCTTGGTTAGGCCAAGATTCATGGCCTTTGTTGCGACCGGATAACTGTTATCGTGCGTCATACAACGGTGAGGTTTCTATTGATGGGTTAGTCGTTGGTCGTGCAAGCGTACAGGATGCCGCCGAGGTTACAATTGAGATGAAATCGCCGGCCTTGACCGTCTTTCCTGGAGCGAGCCCAATGGAGTGTCGCTGGAATATCTTTTCGGTAAGGTTCTGCGGATTTGTCGGCGCCGCGGCTTTCTGGAAAGACTGAAGAATGTGAGCATCTGGGATGCTCTCGAGTTGCGAGTGGAAGGCTTGTTGTCTTGGCGGAACGGTGGAAGTATATAAACGCAATTGGGGCGTAGCAATCGAAGGGCTTCGCAAGCGGGCGATGTATGCTCGACACTGCGGAGCTACAGGGGTCAGAGACCTCAAAGCAATTGCTCTCTGCAAAAGTCATCTTCTTGTCAGCAAGATTTCGTCGGGGTCGGGGTGCGATGTGGTTGCGACGGGGAGGGTAACGCACAAGTCGGGCCATCATGAGTACTTGTAGCCAGCAATTGGCATGGCTTGTGCTCAATAGATGGTGTCAAGACGGGGAGATATGAATCCCGCGTCCAAGGGAAGGCAGATTTCGATGTTGCGGATAACTTCATTTGCGACACGCCGAGGTTCGGAGGCATGTATGACTAATTATGAGTGTTGCGATTGGGACTGCCAAAGTTTTATTGGGGCAAGGACTTATGTCATCACGATTTCCGGCCCACACCCCACGTGCAAGTCCGTCCACCCCTCCCCCCACCCACGGTGCCCTCTCCCAATTTTCTAAGCGCACGCCCTGGTAGTTACTCAGGCGCAGCGATTATTGCGAAATACAATTCAGCTTGTAGCCGCACTAGAGAGTCTTCAATGTTAGCTACCAATATCATTTATGCAGCACGAAACGAAAGCCACAGTGTGATAGCGCCACTAGACTTGCTTTCGTATCGTCTGGGTCAATATCGGCTTACCCCCGGTGTTTCAGTTCCGTACTGTCGTCAGTTAAATATTTTGTGTACAGCTCAGATCCAAGTGCCGCTTTGAGTAAATATACTTGAGAAAGGGCATCACCGAATGCGTATAACCAATATACAGACACATTCAAATAAAGCAATAACGTTTCATAACAAAAAGGAAGTGATTTCGAAGCGGCTATAATAGATAAGTGTAAAAGCAAAAGTAAAAGTAAAGCCTTCTGTTGGACTAAACTTTCACAATACCTCCCAATTTATCCCTTGACGGCGGTAAGACGGACGCCGCCCAACTGGCCGCTGGCAAACAATGCATCAACCGTATCGTAGAATAATGTAAGTGGCGCCTCGCTTGTCCCTTCATGTCTGTTCCTCACTGCTCGTTCGTGCACAAACTCGGCCCAATCTTCCGACGTTTCCTCAAATCGAACGCCGTGGAACCCTGCATTGGTCAGATGGGATATATACTGCTCCCGGCTCGGCAGGTAAGGGCAGGACACAATGTCGCGTAATTGGTCGCGGGCGCTGGGGTCGAGTGTCGTTCGGGCAAAGAAGTCCTCAATGTAGACTTTTCCACCAGGCTTTAGGCTACCGGCCACTTTCTGGAACAACGCCTCCCTGTCGGGGATGTGTAGTATGCATAAGAACGAGACAATGTAGTCTACGGGGGCATCTACCGTGAGTTTTGTAAAGTCGGCATTCACGGAGCGTACGCCTCCGGCCAGTCCATTCCGTTTGGTGATGATCTCTGCGAGTTCATGAATTTCGGCCTGTAGCTCGACGCCCGTGACATCAACGCCGCACGTCTTGTGGAAATAGCGGCCGGTGGCACTGAATCCGGAGCCAATGTCGATGACTGTTTGTCCAGGCTGCATGCCCAACCTCTGGCATGCCTTTTCCAAGGCACCGTCGCCAAAATAGTGCATGCAATCGAAGCCTGCGGTGTCGCTAGGATCCCATTTGGGTTTGCTAGCGAGGGCATCCAGGCTTCTCCTGATCCTCCCCAGGTTGTATAAAGCAACATTGCCAATGCCGGTGTCTGCATTTGGGGAAGCCATATTGTCATTGGATTCGGTGTTCGTATCGCCGGTATCGATGGACATGTTGTACTGGACGGATCAGGTGGCTGAGTTGGGCCTTGACTGAATCCCTCGACGGAGAAGCCAAGAGTTATTTTATAGAGCTTCCATCTAGTTGTTGCTTTTTTGATACCCAATCGGGTGGAAAAAGCAAACACACGCCGCGTGACCCTGTGGTCACAGTCAATGTGGGAATTGTCGCTGATGTGTGGATCAACTTGGGCTTTTCTTGGTCCACATGAGCACGGTTGGCATGTTGGACTCGTCTATCGTGGTTTGTTGATTTCACAAAGCCGTGATGCCGGCGAGTGGAAACCTGGTGCCGCTCGGCGCGCAATGTGCACATCGGAGTTTGTTGGCAAATCGTCTTCTGCCAAGAGGCAAGCCGAGTTGAGCAGTCATTATGACAATATTGAATCGTCAATCCCTCCCCTCTTTCCGCATTGGTTACTTCAGTTCTTTATTGCCAACTGTTACGATTCTACCAAAGCGGAGGACCTCCTTCGATGGAGACCACATTTACAGTCGGTCGGTGTTACACGGTTAAGACCCGACACCAACAAAGCCCAACAAAAGGATCATCGCCGATAAGGGACCTCGGGGTTACACGGACTAAACACATGACCTGGCGGAAACCCTGGGCACAGCTCTTCCTTTCATGCATACATAATGATCACTTGTCCCTACCTTTCTTTGCAAAACCAAGGATCTTTGATATCCAATAGAATCATCTTTGAATTGAGTCATTGCGCTCCAAGACCTCGTCACAGTCGGGTTTACAACAATGAATGGTACGCACGGTATTAATTGCGGACAAGTTATCGCTCAAGCCCGAATCAACCAGATATATCGAATTCGTGCCAAAACGTCGATATAAGGAGAGGTCCCGGGTAGGTCGGCATTGGTGTTCTTTAAACCCCGATTCCCTTGGTCCGCTCAACCGAGGTAAGCATATCTTAGAGAGCCTGCGATGCATTCGCGGAGACTAATAATGGAAGAGTAAACACGACATCTCGGGCGGATTAAATGGATCAAGCCACAGACGTCTGGGCATAGTTCAAGAGGAAAGTCTCACGAGGGCCTTTTACTTCTGTCATTGAGCGTGACGTCACATGAGCAATTTTAGGAGCCCAAGGAATAGAGATTGTGGGGCATGGCTAACATTGAAGTGACCCCAAGATACTAAATCAGCTTAGTGCCGCCTTAAATAATGGTTTTCTACAGCATAAATGGCACGACTACTCTCCTTGGCTGCCATTTTCCTTGGCCGATTAGCCGAGTGATACAACAAGTCTTGGTAGTACAATCCACTCTGCGGAATTGCAGACGTCTACTACCTAGTTATTTATTTCCAGATCAAGGTATTATTAATCCGCTTCTATCCGAGTAACCCTGGCTTCTCGGTCTCCATCTAACAAGCCCCAAAAAGGAAATAGCAGCCAAAGAGATAAATAAGAGCATCTAGAACTAGATTAAATACCTAGAAGTATAAGCCTTCTAATTATTCCTATTATTCTGCAGCTTTATTTTGCTATAATATGTTTTAAGAGGCTTCTTCTACGCCCCTCGTCCTTGGGAAATGAGCTCGTGGTTGCATACCGTTCTTACACAATACTCGCGATACGAAAGGGTTAGCAACCAAGACAGCCGAAAGAGACACAATGCGTCTTTTATCCTCTCACGCCTCCAGACCAACTGCACCGACCATATTGACGCTCTGCCTTCTTAGTCTGGTCTCAGCAGTGTCGGACCAACGCTTAGCAGAACTCGAAACCCTTGACGCTCTCGGTCACCGAGGGTTATTATGCGGCGACATGGCTGATAAACTTGCCGAAGCATGCGACCAGCCAATTGGGTCGAATGGCCGACGTGGCATTTGCCTTTGTGCAACGTCGAATAAACCCCGGATGATATTTCCGTTATCGGATAATACTCCCGATTGTGATCTATTTACCATGGCCTCCAGGATAGCTGCCCAGGGAGCCAAGTACTGGTCCTGTGGCGGCTGTCAAGGGGGAGACGCCATTATGCACTTTCGACGGGATACCCAATACACATGTCGTCTCCGTATTGTACCATAGCGAGACTACTTGCTGGATGATGGCGCCGTATTGTCGTGCGCCATCTACGGGCGGTAGTATCACTACAGCATTGTGATTCTAGATCTCGAGGCGGGTGGGCGCGATATCAGCAAGGCGGAAATTGGCGGAGTGGAAAGAAGCAGGAAACGGGCGATTTCTGTGATGAGGCATTTTGATGAAAAGATCAATGATTGGCTAAAACATCGGATTGTATCCCAAGAGTGACACATCCCGAGGTAGATATTAGTAGTCATGTCTAGTGTAACGAATGTTGATATTAGTCTGTGTGTAGCAGCTGACTGAGACAAACGGCGATGAGCATGCGGCGTTTATGTTGGCAAGGTGACGAGACGGGCTCTGTGATGATATATTGCGAAATAAAGCCCCTACACCAACAGGAGTGATGTCCACTTTTTGTAGTGCAAGTGGCAAAACCTTCGTGTAAGTGGCAAAACTCTCATCAGGCTCCATCTCATAAGTTGATGGTGACGAGACTACAGCCCTGTGTAGCCTTTGTGTGACGGCCATGACGTTTAAAGGTAACCTCCGTAAAACAATGCAGTAGGCAAAACAAAAGCAGTAATGTTGCGTAGTACAAGCTGAGGTCATTCATTTTAAGGTCACGGCATTTATAGCCCTTGGAATGAGCCCCATGTTTTGCCCCCTTTTGAGTTCCTGCTTAACTCGCATCATGTCTTCTTTCAAAGTTTTCCACGTTGCCCCAGAGCACCCTACAAGCCTGGCAGATAGGACTTCAATCCCTCTGCCAGGGATCGACCTGGATTCCGAGCTTGTACGATGTTTCTCAATCGAACGCGTGGGACTGACTGACACCACAAGACGTAAAGATAGCCAACTCCATCACCATCCCTTGTCCTTTTGATACCGATCGCCTCCGCGCCTCCTTGGCAAAAACGCTGCAGATCTTCCCACTACATTGTGGAACTCTTGCACGAGAAGTAACTGGCAACACTTGGTCCATTAAACTGACAAACAGACCCGTGCGCCTCATTGTGGGTGTGACGGACAACCCGGGGCCGTTTTCCGACCAGTGGATGGGGGAGACGCATCCAGGTAGGTGGTTGTAATTTGATGTCAAAATATTCCGCCTTGACTCTTTTGCTAGACTACTATGAGGAAATCGACCGCGATAGCATCTTCAGCGAACGTCATACCCCTTTATTCCTCGCCAAAGTAACCACGTGGAGAGAAACAGGACAGACGGCCCTCTTCGTCTGTATTTGGCATGGCCTGGGTGAGCACCAACCGTAGGTGTATCTCATTTAGATCTAGTGCTAAATAACTCTCTAGGAGACGGTTTTGCTGCCCTGCACTTCCTCAAGACTTGGTCAGCATTGTACCAGGAAAACCCCCCTGTTGGCGATCCGACGTTTTGCAATTTCTTCTTGCCGGCACCAGAGATTCTCTCCATATCTTGCTATACATCTGAACTGTCAAGGTTATCATATCTTTCTCATCCTTTTGAGCCAGAGTTCTGTGACCGCAGAAATAAGCTCATCAAAGAGCAGACTGTCCGCTTAGACATTGACGTTCCAGAATCCTTCGTTGACAAGACATGGACATCAGTCAAACGGGAGAACCCCGTGAACAATGCCCATGTAGGTCGGGGAGATGCGTTTTCGGGTTACTTGATAGCAGCTCTTCAAAGCTGTTTCGAAAAGCCGGTCGAGACGTTGTTTCAATTTGTTTCGGTTCGACTTGCACCCCTTGTGCCTTGAACCGTCTTGTCACAAACCAGCTTACCAGAAAAATAGGTTCGAGGCCGTTCCGCAACCTACAATGGTCAAAACTTGTATTTTCCCCGTTCCACTCAGGGTAATGCGTTTGTCCTGTGGTCAACCCCGATTACCACTGCGCCAAATGAGCAAACGCCCGGGTATGAGAATTCGGCAAACTTGGGTATCCTTGCCTGACGCAAGACAGACAACTTGACTAACTGCGCTCCTTAGAACACTGGCACAAACGCTATTCAGGGGCCGGAATAGTCTTGCCGACAGGGACCGTCTCGGCCGAGCACTCATGCTCACAAACTACCTTTGGAGTAGAGCTTTTGCCGAGAACAAGAGGATCATAGACTCTGGGTTTCAAGATGCCATCATCATCAATTGGCTTGTTGGGTAAGCAAAAACTCAGCTGTAACTCGGATATTGTTCCGAGTTGATGTACTCTAACACGGCATAGGGTGGAAACGAACAAGGCCAACTTTGGATTTCCCCTTCAATCTAGTTACATCGATTGGGCGTCCACCGAGAAATTTGTCCAGGTTTGGAATGCCAATCCTATGAAACAGACTGATGGTACTTGGCGAAGAGATCCCCGGGGCCTCCATATTTTACTTCGGCTTCAACCAAGGCATGCGGCCAAGTTTCTCGAAAAGCTGCGGCAAGACATGGATCGTCTGTCGATTGAGCAGTCATATCCATCATCTCCGACTTCACTTATTCGCCGCCTGCAAGATGTAGAGTCACACGGTCTTGGGGTGGAAAGTCGTTCCACGGAAAAAGCTATGCTCTAAATGCCTTGTCTTTCTTATTAAAGACAAGGCAGATGCTGCAACATGGGCACCTAGAGTGCCAGAGTGTGTCTATCCCCCACCGCCCTAGCTGCTGCCATTTTGCTGAGAATGGAGAAATTGAAGCAATTCAAGCGAGTCGTCCACTTCCCCATGAATAGCAGACGAAGGACCAAGTCTATGATAGAACGGGTAGTCGAAGCGAGCTGGAAAGAAGCCAGCGTATTCCCAATCAATAATTGCTCTGATTTTTAGCGTGTCCGGGTTGACGATGATGTTTTGCTGCGATAAATCGTTGTGACAAAAGATGTATTCTTGGTTGCTTGTCGGCCGTAGATTCCATTCATCCGTCTCGGCACGATGTAAAACCCGATATGGCGGAATCACAAGTCCCGACGGTCCACCAAGACGGCTGGACTTTAACGTCCTCAGTTTGGCTCGATGGATCTCGAGCTCCTGACGTACGACAAGCTTGTGTTCCTCTGAGAGTTCAGACATGCTCACGCCTTCAACATATTCCGTGATTAGGTAGTATGCCCCATCATCTTCAAAGTGACATTTCACAGCCGGGACGGGAATATCAGTGTGCTGTCGAACGAATTGCAAGGCTTCGGCTTCGTTCAAGAGACGTTCCTTCCCGAGGCGAGGCGCATGTAGTCCGCGATATCCAGTGCGGAACTCTTTGGGGCGTAGACTTGTCTTGATGAAGACACTTCCAAGATGATAGTACTTTCTTTCAAACGTTGTGGCAATGCATCCTTGCTCTTGGGCGGCGTCTGCGGGCATTATATCCTTTTTGGTGGGACTGTGACGGATTAAAACGTGGATAATCGGGTATTGCTCGCACGAGATCTAAATACTTGTCATTACTCTGTTAGCCGGTGAAGGGAGATGGCGAAGTCAGATAGACGCCTAGGATCAAATCCACGACAAAGAGGTCAGCTCGGGCACGTGGTCTTGTAGATTTCTCCGAAACCGCGAGGGCAGGCGGTCGAAAACGGCAGCCAGTTTGCAATTACCGACTATAAATTCCGATAAATGTCTGGTGGAATATACATTCTAATTCCATACGTTCTTTTGTCGTTTATTTGCAAAGTCGCATTTTCCGTCGCCTAATTTTCTAGGCGAAATTAATGGACAAGTACCAGATTTGTCTCTGCATGTAGTCATAACAATGGCAGCTTGAGCCTTCTTCGCCCTACCCTACAACACAGACAATTATACCTTGAGAGAGCATCAAGACAATGCCATTTCAGAGGCCTTGAACTCCCCCTTCTCAGCCAACAAGGCCGGGAGGTCCTCCTTCTCAAATGCCTCTCCAATCCCCAACTGCTCAGGCTTCCACCCCATGGACCGCAACCTATCAGCCCTATTTCTGCAGCTGCATCCCACGACATCCGGCGTGAATTGACCAAACAAGTCGACGTACTCAGACTCCGGAATAGAGCGGGTGTCGGGCGTGGTAATTCGACTCGCCTTGTAGAGGCCCTTCCCAATAATAGCGCCGACTTCAGCCCATGTAACTTGGCCGCTTTCGCAGAAGAAGTAGGGATTTTGGAGCTCGGGGTCGGAATCTGCAGCGCCCTCAATCCAGTGAAGGACTTGGACGTAGGCCTGAGAAATTCGATTAGATACCGCGGGCTTTTTAGAATCATTTTGTTTGGGGATACTACCTTGGCCAGATCACGGACATGTACTACACCCCAGGCCTTTTTGCCAGTGCCGACGTAGCCGGCTTGCCCGTGTTTGCAGGCAAATCGAGTCAAGGCTGGAATCTGGTACAAATCTTCAAGTTAGATGGTGACTAGTGGCTTCAATTCCATGGCATACCTGGATTGAAAGACGCTTGTGCTTGCTATTGCTGCCGTAAATGATGGGAGGCATCCAGATAAATATTCTGGCCTTGTTGCCCATCTTTTCGCGGGCTTTTAAAATAGCTGGCATATGGGTTAGCAGGTGATGGTATCAAGGCCTGTCAGAGGATATGCATATACCAAGATCAATTTTTCGATGAGGCGCCGTGTCCGACAACGAATCAATTTGAGACGGCGTTTTGTCGGAATAGATTTCATCGTTGACATTATTTCCAGGTGATGTATCGCTCAGAACACTGGCTCCGCTTTGATGGAGATAGATAGATTTCTTTCCTATACATGACACCATGTCAACGTTGGTTCTACCGGTAGCGTACCATGTCAGGACTCGGTCCATGGTGTACATACCTTGACCGGCGCGTTCCTCAATTCCGGCCAAGATTGCCTGGGCAGATTCCAAATGGTCGGCGGTAGCTGTGTGAAAAACTACATCGCTCTTGGCGCTCAGTTGCTGGATGACTTTGAAGTCATTCAAATCACCGAGAACCGCTTTGACTCCTGTAATTCAATGAGAATTCATGTCTGACGTTTGTGTCGTGGTTACCCCGCACCGTCTTTCTCAAATTCCTCGACGGCGGCTTCCCGTCGCACCAGGGTTGTGATTTCATATTGACCTTCCGACAGAAGAAGGTCGATAATTTCGCGACCGACATAACCTGGACCGAGAACGAAGACTTGGCTCTTCATCTTTTCGAGTATCTGGTATCTCGTATTGTTATGGAATTGATTGAAGTTGGGTTCTTGGTGGTAGTGAACATTTGCGTCAGTGGCGCCCGTATAAACACGGACGGGTTATTTGTCAGCATGCATGTGTTTATAAACTTTCTTGTTACCTGAAATAGTTTAGAAACGTTTGTCAGCATAGTCAAGCGCTTCCCCTTTGCTCTGGAGTTTGACTTGGCATGGTAGCGAAATACTCGGGCAAATGGTGGAAATCAATGGCCCAAATTAAACATGCTAGCCAGGCGGCTTAAAGCAACTTGCAGTTGTAAATCGGAGCTTGTTGAAGTTGTCAACTAATTGGGCAATTCCGGGACACTACAATGAGGAGAATATGCACTGCTTTAGTAAGAAGATGAATGATATATTTAAAAGATACATGATATCCTGTTCTTTTATTGTATCAATATTCGTTACATAATAGCAATTTGTACAGAGAAATTAGAGTGACATTGTATTCCAAGACAAGCTTGGCAAGAGCTACAATATATCTGATGCCAAACGGTCAAGTGCTAAAAGCTAGTGCCAAATAGGGCCAAATGTTGCCCTTTCCAGATGAGACAAAGCACGAATCTTGGAGGCCTCGTAGCGTAGAGCAAGGCCGGTCAGCCCTCGGGTATGACGGACTTGTGTAGTGCCACCAACCATTCCAGATTCCTTCCAGGAATAGCTGCCTGGCTAATCAGATAATAACCAGTTATGAATTCACCAGACGGCCCCGACGTCCTTCACATAGGGGACACCATCGCTCTCGACTCTCCCCGACACGACGAGCGAGTGGCAGATGAGGAAGGAGGAGGTGGGACATAAAAGCAGTCCCACAACTTGCGTTACAAATAAATCCATGTCATCACAAATTGGGATGTCAGCCAGGTCGCTGCATCATTGCTTCCTCCTGATTCCGTCAAGGGGGGTGGCGCAGAGGCAAGCCTCAGCGCAGATGAAGCATTTCATGACAGTCATGACAAGTGGCTTGCATAAAAGAAAACTATTGATGCAAGCCTCGCATCTCGTGACCACAGCATCTTGATACAAAGAATTATGACCGGTTCTTTTGTCTTGAGGGCACTACCAAGTGAATGACTATAGGGCCTTGGAAAAGTATACAATCTCCTCTTTGTCACCTCTCTTTGACCAGTCGCTCCATCGACAACACAGGTTGAACATCTGTCAAGCTCTCAACATGTGAAAATACATTAAAGCCATCTGTAGCCCAAAGATTCTTCATTCAATCGCCATCATGAAGCACATGACTGCTGTCGTTGCTCTAGCCGCCGTTGCCATTGCTGCTCCAGTCGAGGTCGAGAAACGCGACGGCGAGTGCCCCGATACGGCCACTATCGCTTACTGTCCTTATCCGGTTGGGTTAGGTCATAGTGTCTGGTGGTCTGCGAGGTTTTGCAGCCCGGGCAGGAATGCTTGGCCATTCTTTACTGCTGCCCCAATAAGGGCGTGAGTGTCGGCCATTCCAGAAGTGGCCATGCAAAACACTAACTTTTCTCTAGGACGGCGGCATCATCAATGTGAACATTGGCGACTGTGAGCAGATCCTCTAAATACTAGTCTTGTGAACACTCGTTCGGATGGATGTTGCGGGACGTGGTTGTGAAGCGCTGTGGCGGTGGATGGGCACATGGTTGCAATGTCCGAGAGTATGTTCTGCTGGCTTGTTCAATTTTTGGCGAGGGTACTTGTATCCTTGACTCTTTTAATTTATAAATTACGAGCTGGATCCGGTGCGCCTTTTTATTCTCTCAGTGTTCGAAAATCCATCGAGGAGCACAAGAATACAGCGCCTTCGCCAAACTTATATTACCGGTCAAGTGCATTCTTCATTCATTTACGGCATATTCCGTAGCCGGAGAGTACTGAGGGGTGTAGCAAGGACAAGTAGCGCTCTCCTACAAGGAGAAAAAACACGTTCTGCGTCTGTGGTGTGCCATTTGACTGGGATATGAGTTGCATAATGTCCTTCCTAGCAACTCACTATGAATCTGTGGACACAGGGTCAAGACATTAACTAAGACGACCCATGGTTGCTCGCAATCTCACCTTCGAGGACGTCCTTCGCCAGGTTGGACATCCCTGGCAGATCCCTCACACCCAGTGACGGCAAAGCATTAGCTTTGATATTGAGTTTCGATTCATTTGAGACCATTCCACATCCTTGGGGACCTTTTGCTCAGGGCTTTTGATTGCAGCTCCATAAACGCGAATGCAAGGCTCTAATAGAGCCAGCTGAGTCTCGAGATGCCGATGGTGCTGTTACACCAAACTGAACTTGCATATTTCGAAGAAGATGGACGCAGATTTCCACCCTGGCATCGCAGTGAGTTGTAGCATTTTATATGTCAGTATATAACTGTATTTGAGCTTAACCTTAGCCCCGATCTACAAAGCTAAATTTCGAAGCTATGTTGGAGCTAGTCTTTAGGCGTATTATACCGTTGACAGTTCAAATTGCCTCTCTTACGTCACAAAACTTTTAACCAAACTTTAATTGTAGTCAACTAAGTGACCTAGGCAATAAGGGTTAAATAATATTCTGGAACCTTCCGCCTTGCCAGTTCCATTTCCATTTCTTCAGTATACAGCACCTCGCCTGACAACAAATCGTCCACCACTCTCCGCACTACGAGTGCAACAGAATCGCAAAATTCAGCCCCTGCTTCTTTATCAAATCCATAAGATATTCTTTCTCTCTTGTCCTTTCCCTCAGATTAATCCTCATCTTATCCGAGGCATCATGGACATCAAGACCAGGTTCTTGATCCTCTCCGACACCCACGCCGAAGACTGGGCACCTCGGGTCGCCTCCCTTCCGCCTATAGATGTGGCCATACACTGCGGCGACCTCACGGAGGAATCTAAAATGGCCGAATTCCGCACATCACTCCAGCTTTTGAGCAGCATTGACGCCTCTCTCAAACTTGTAATTGCCGGCAACCACGACTTTACATTGGACACGCCCAAATTTAAGCAGAAGCTCGCGGAGGCAAATGCCTCTATAGAGTCAGAGCTTATCAAGAAAGAGTTTGGCGACATTGGAGAAGCCCAGAGCCTCTTCTGCGATGCACGAGAAAACGGCATCATATTTCTCGACGAGGGAACTCATCATTTCAATCTTCGCAATGGCGCCTCGTTGACCGTCTACGCAAGCCCATACACTCCATCCCTCGGCGATTGGGGATTCCAGTTCAACCCAAAAGACAGCCACAACTTTGACATCGACAGGAGCGTCGACGTGGCGATTACCCACGGGCCGCCCAGAGGAGTCCTCGACATGACGAGCTCTAGGCAGCGCGCTGGCTGCGAGGCGTTATTTTCTGCAATAGCCGCGTCTCGGCCACGCTTACATTGTTTTGGTCATATCCACGAGGGCTGGGGCGCAAGACTCGTTACTTGGCGAGACGGCACCTTGGGCGAAAAGCCATCGCATTTCTCAAATATCGACAATGAACGGTCTTGCACCATCGAAACACTCTCTTCCCTGTACCCTCGAAAATTCGATACTGCAGAGACAATAGCTGAAAAGAACATGAAGCGGCAGCAATACATCAGTAACGGATTCTGTCGGACAAGCCATTGTAAGGGGGACGATGGCCCGGTACAGTCGGGTTTACAGACGCTCTTCGTCAACGCGGCTATTCAAGGCCTTGACGAAGATGCCATGCAATTACCGTGGATAGTGGACATTGAACTGGTAAAGAGTGATGTGTCGGGTGAAAAGGGTGAAGGTGATATTTAGAGGTTGCTTGTTGGTCATGGTATTTGCTTTTTCTAGGGATCAAAATAGGGCTCGGATCGAAGGACATGGTAGGAGTATTCAGGGGATCCAATTGGGCATACAAAAGGGTCAATTCTCAGGCGTTTCGGCGAATTTAACACAGATTTCAATTCATTATCAATATCGTTGAATCCGTTTAATTGAAGCTGCCAAAATTCCCCTGTGCGATTTGCTGTTGTATTTGCAATATGATGGTCCTCCAGGGACGGAACGACGTTGAAAATTGCCCACAGTAAGCAAAGGTAATGTAGGCTGCCAAGACTGGGCATAGATAGCAGAGAGGCCAGTGACATACTGTGAAAGGGGGCAAATGCAAACCATCGTTTTTCATGTCTTCCTTTATTCTCATTTTGTAGAGTACAACACTCGAGGCCGCTCTTCTTTGCCCTCGACTGATACGTTGAAGAATTTCTTGGCTCATAAAATATACGTCGCGCCTCTACGCGAAGTATCATTCAGGGAGTGCTCTAGGCGTTCGTACTCGGCTTGAAGCTCCTTTTCTTGACTGCACTTCCGAGCCGCCTCGAAATCGACAAGAACTGCTTTCCCTTGGCGAATAAGAAAATTATACTTGTTGATGTCGCCATGCTTGATACCCAGAGAGTGTAGCCTGGCTAGAGCAGCTTGACAGGCTGCCAGGTCGTCGGTTTCAGCAGACCTGGTGTCTTCCAAGTACTCCAAGACGAAACCGATGATCCTGCCGTCTTCGGTTAAATGGCCGAGGAACTTGGGACCAATGTCGTGGCCATCAATCCATTCGTATGCCGTTGTTTCGGCTTCGAAGAAGGACATTTGCCAGGGAAATTCGGTAAATTTGACGAGCAGAGCTTGGTCGAAAAGCGGATGTGTGACGACGTGTATATTCTGGCGTATACGACTGACCTTGTTGAGCTCCAAATGATCGATTCGCGTGTGGTGCCAGGTGTTTGAAACTCCAGGCAAGTCGCTGCGCGTACAACGGGAGAACTCCAGCTCCCCATTCAGGGGGTTCTTGGATACGTGACCCTCGTTCCAGTCACCGGGAGGGAAGGAAGGCAGCGTCGGAAGCAATATCGGAGCAAAGGTCCGATCATCTCTTGGCAAGACTCCGGGGTCCACGGTGACATACTTGGCGTGCTTCCCGTCAACCAGAAAGCGGTATTCGCCCTCCTCCTCGTCCTTGAAGTCGACAAGTGTTGCCAACAGTTGGATGTTGCTGTTGCGGGTGGGCGTCATCGTGGGTGTTGATGAGGGAGTGATGGTGTAGACGGGCACTTGGATTGCAAGGAAAACACTAGACGGGAGGCCACAGATGCAGTATGAGTGCACAGGGGGTGGTGGGAGATGGGATCGTTAAAAGGCCATTGCTGAAAATGGGCATGAGGAATAGCCAAGTCACTGGCCAGTTTTCAATACTCCACATGCAGCGTCACATCAATCTGCAGGTTCCAAAGCGTGAACGGGGAAAATATGTGGGGTGACGAATTATGGCGACTTGCGCAGATTTAAAGAAAGTCGTTCATGTTCCCTTCACCGTTTACCACCGTGATTGATCCCAAACAGTGCCATGTGATCCATAAAAGCACTTTCCGTGTACTTATTTCTGAAATGAGTCGCTGGCTCCGTATTGTCTATGCATTTGGTGCAATGGAAGCCCCAATCAGCGGAACGACCTGATGAGGTGAAGAAAGGTGCAGAAATAATGGACATGAATCGTCGAGGCTCTCTCGTTGTGAGGTCTACTTGCCGGAGCCCGTCGTCAAATGCCTGAGAGGAACCCCTCGATATCCTGTTGCGCAGGGACTGGCGGTCCAATAGCATGATCCTGCCCCTAACCAACTTGTTGCGCTCCGTGAAGCGTCCTGGCAGACCGAGGATATGAGGCAGACGTTTGAGTTCTTTCCTTGAGAGACCAGTGCGCTTGGTCGCAAGTGTGGCAGACACGGGGAAGTACAAGGGATCCAGGATGAAGCAAAGGTAGCAGACGCGTTTGCATGTGATTAGGTAGAGATAGCCGCCGAAGCGGTCACACGTTGCGCACTTGGTCGTGGACAGGGTGTTGAACAAGCTGGCGCAGTCAAAGTGCTTTGCGTCGATGCTGACGATGGCGCGGAGGATATCGGGACAGTGTTCAAAGATCCTTCGGTACTGATGCAACGAATCGACGAGGCTCATGGCCCGTCGATTTACGCGCCGAAAGGCAGTCAGAGACGGCAGATCCAGGGCTAAGAGAACATTGGCGATGAGTTCGGTGGGGAGCAGATCCAACCTGCCCGCCGAATACTTTGGTTGGCCGTGGTGTCGCCCGTTGTCGAGGGGACAGCGAGTCTCAAGGCGGGCATCGTCCAAGGTGTGGTCGATGATTCTTGACTTGCGATAACCGTATTCATGAAGCTCATCTGGAGTGAGAAGTGATGCGTCCATTCTGATGATGGAAGGTGTCAAGTAGGAGTCAGAATGTAGAGTCGGAGAAAACTATGCGCTGCCCCGAGAATCGCGTGGTTTTCCACGTGATCTCTTACACGTCGACCAAGTTAGCATTTACATAAAAACTTATGCTTCCTTTCAAAGTCACAATTCTGGATTTGGTTTAATCTCTGTTAATAGCCATGTCTTAGTTAGTTTGCAATAATTAATGAGCTTACACCGTCAACAGGCAGCCTCCATATGGTCTGGCATAAGTCATAGCTGGAACTGTTGCAAGTGTATGCACGACAAGAAAACCATGAAGGCCATTGAAGAGAATCTTGTGTACGAATCCTTCAAGGACATACTTGAGGGCAAAATTTCAGCCGTTCGGGATAAAATAGGGACCAAGAAGTATAAGCGCGGCGGCCCGAAAGCCTGAAGGCTTCAACTGCAGCCTCAACATCAACCCTCCCTTCGGTCTTTCATCAGGCGCTGGCAGAGCTGAATCCTCCTATCCAGTATGTATGTCGTGTAGACCAACGTCCGCCTTTGGCTCTCGATGCCCAGAATCTCAGCCGTCCAGCCCATCCGAACGTCGATCAACAAGCCACCACACGCTTAATTTCACCGCTCAAAACTCCTGCATCGCAGCCGTGGTTCCCGCTCAGAAAAAAAAAAACAAGAAAGAAAAGGAGCCTTGTGTTACAACCCCTGCCAGAACCCTCACCTACTCATCTTCAGCCGCACGAGGAAGCGGACATGGGCTGGAGGAAACATGGCACCAATCATGCCACGCATTCGTATTCAGTCCTGCAGCCAAGTGATGGCTCCCGAAATTGGCGTCACAAGTTGCCTTGCCAGCCCGACAGCCCCAATGACACATATGACACTACTGCGAAGCGTGGTTATGTGACTTGCACCTGCGTCGAGTGACCATGTGCGAGTTCCTGCAGTCCCTGCTTCTGAGGCTGAACGTCATCCTCCTCGGACTATCGCGCGCCATATTTGGGGCTGAGGGGCTGGAAGGCTGACTGTGGGCTGGAGTTCATGTGTATGGACGCCGACTTTGAGACTATTCGCAAGGCAGTCTAGTACGCCATGCCAGCGAGCTCCGTGGCTTGCAGGGTCATTCTGGTCCGAGGTGAGATTTTCGTCTGGATACTTGCTTGTTGAGGCTCTGCTTTCCATCGCTCCTCAGGAAATACATAACAACAGAGCCAGTTCCTGCCTCCCGCCACGGCCAAGCCGACTTACACCCATACTCGCGGCCGCCAACTCACTGGCAGCTTCTATTCAGTCTCTCGTATAATCAGCCTCGGGGCATTAACACGGAGAATATAGCCAAGTATGCACTTGTACTCGCTTTTGGTCCTGGCAGCCGCCGAATGGGCAGCCGCCGAGCAGCTTGTCCCCATGCAAGCTGTCGGCAGCGTATCTGCGCGCCAGCTCTTCGCCAAGTCCGAACCGGTATTCGACTTCTCAAAGCGAGCCACATGTGACATTGGCCAAGTCGCCTGCCACGACGGCTGTATCCCCATCGGCGGCCGGTGTTGCGCCTCATCAGGCTGGTGCAAGGTCGGCACCGTCTGCGACGACAAACTCGGCGGCTGCTGTCCGCTGGGCAAGACGTGCACCAGCGGTCCTACTGGCGGTCTGACCTGCGACACGGGATACACGCCTTGCAAAGACAAGTGCATGCCCGTCGGAGGAGACTGCTGCAGCAACGGCAACTTTTGCAAGGCCGGCACCAAGTGCGACGGGAATGGCGCATGTACCACGGGTGGCGGCGGCGGCGGCGGCAGCAACCAATGCCTCTCGACCGAGGCGTCCTGCAATGACAAGTGTATGCCCAAGGGATCCGTGTGCTGCGGCAACGGCAGGTACTGCCAGTCGGGATATACCTGCGTCAACGGCGGTCTGAGTTGTTCACCGGGCGGTACTGGCGGCGACGGAGGCGGAGGCGGAGGCGGCAACCAGTGCCTCGCAACTCAGGAGGCATGCAACAATAAATGCATGCCCAAGGGATCCGTCTGCTGCGGCAACGGTAAATACTGCCGGGCAGGATACACGTGCGTCAACGCCGGGCTCAACTGCTCCCCGGGCGGCACTGGAGGCGGCAGCAGCGCTGGTGGTGATGCCGGCACCACCTCTGCTGCCCTGGGCACAACCGCTCTGCCTACCTATACGTTGACGTCGGACGACGGATCTGGCGCTTCACCTACCAATGCCCAACCTACCGATACGCAGTCCGGGCCTACTCCTCTCGGGGGCACGACGGCCGCGGCCAACCCAGTCCCTACCGACTCTGGTGCCGGGACGGCCGCGGGCACCAATGCCCCGACACAGACGAGAGCCCCGGCCGCTGCTGGAGTCGTTCAGGTGCCTCTGGCCTTGGGGGCTGTGGCGATGGCCCTTCCCTTGGTGTTGTAGGATGCTAGCTGGCAGAGAGCATCTTTGGTCGAAGGAGGCGACGGAGGTGGTGGTTAGACTGCGGGCGAGTGTGTCTGTGGATATGGCCAGAGCGTGACGGATAATATTGTTCCGTCAATATAATATAATATAATATATGATACCAACTGTTTGCTCCTAGGATGAAGCTACATAGTTGCGCTTGTGCGGGGTGGTTTTGACACTTGAGAGAAGATGGGAGTACAAGCAGCCATCGTCAGCCTCAGCCCCAAACAAAGATGCCCAAAGACCAGGTCCGTAATCGTCGCAATGGAGAGACTCATCATGTCGATTCACCATGTGGCGTTACGCGCATCTCCGACGTGGTGCGCACGCAACGGCACGTTGCTGACGGCAAGGACGCGTGTACTCGGCCTGTCGTCGGTCCGGCTTCAAATGCGACTGGCGCAATTGACGATTCGCCGCCGCCGCCGCCCCTCCTGATGCTACCAGACTCTTTGTTTGTCACCCAAGGCATCATCAGCCATCAATGTTGAGCCACATCCAACAAAGAACTGAACGCGGCCATTGCCTCTTCAAGCCACAGGACAATGGCTGCGGTTTGTTGATCGCGTAGCCTTTTGCCCCTGCCATGACGGATGATTGTTTGAATTGGCCCAACGTTGGTTTAATTACCCCACCGCAGACCCTCCAGATGTCGCCGTTTACTGCCACCATTGACCAGGCAGCTTCTCCGCTTAAGTTACATCATTGCTTCATCCTCAGCCCACGACGACACCACGCCGCCCATCCGTCCATCCACGCCGTACCCTCGCCCTCGCCATCGCCATCCATTGATGTAGGAGAAGAGGTTTTGCTCGCACATTCATTTGCCGGGCGCCATCACCGCCTCTGCCCTTTGCAACATGGTGTCCCAAGAGCTGCCCAAACACGACACGGCAGCTCCCTCTGCCGATTCAGCCCAGCCGCTTCATCCACAACAACAATATCCACAGCAACCGTCCCAGACACCATGGCCCGACGATCCCAGCGAAGCCATATGGGAGCATGTCGGCGTAGAAAGAGGCAGCTCTGGAACGCCAGCTTGCCCTCCCCCCTCGCACCCCGTGGCAAACACACCACCGCCAGGCAACAGCCTGACCAGCCAGGGCGACGCCGACGAGAATGTCTGGGACGAAGCTAAACGACAACAGCCCAGCCAGGCCGAAACAAACAGTCCAGGGCAGATTCCAGATATACTCAGACCTGGCGGCAATAGAGCTGCCACGAACCCATTTCTGAAGAGGAAACCAGTACCTCAGACACCGGAGGCTATGCCGACCGAAGCCTTCTCCAAGCTGAGCGTTGACGACGCCAGCCAAGATGCCAATCCGTGGCAGCAAGTCGTCGACAGTCAAAGGACTCACATGGGTCATCCTACTCCGCAGCCGCGACCAGTCACAGCTGACGGCATCGAGAGTGATCCGTGGGCCGCTAATATCGACGAGCCATCCATCTCGCAGCCAAGCATCCCTCCCAAGTCTCCAGCTTTGATATCGCTAAAATCAGACAATGATGACCAACCCGCCTGGAAAGACGAGCTTGTCAACAACGGTGACCAAACTGTCATCGAGTCACCACCGACTGCCGTGGCCGACGAACTACTGCATCAGAATGTCTGGGACGATCTCGGTGCATTTGACAAGGGAAAGGCCAAGGTGCAACAACTCTCGGCGCCCGGTCACGCCGCCCAGATCGACGACTGGAGCCTCATTGACGCCGAATCATGCTCAACCCCGTCGAAACACGCAAAAGAGGATGAGAGTGCAGATGAGAGGCCGCCTTTGCCAGCACGATCCACAGGCCTACAGCAGAAATGGGTTCCCTCGCGACCGCCCGTTGATGCCAAAGCCGAGACTTACCAAGTGAAGAATATCCGATGGCACGATGCAAAGTCTCAACAGAATCCTCGAACGTCGCCCATACTAATCCAGAACGAGAACGGCCCTTGCCCCCTGGTGGCACTGGTCAACGCCTTGACCCTGACAACACCGGCTGACAATCCCGACACCACCTTTGTGCAGGTCCTCAGGTCGCGGGAGCAAATCAGCCTGAATTTGCTTCTCGACGCAGTCCTGGACGAGCTCATGTCACCACGACGTACAAACTCGGAAGATGCCCTGCCGGACGTGTCCGATCTGTATGCTTTCTTGCAAAGCCTGCACACCGGCATGAATGTCAACCCTCGGTTTGTGCCGACCCCAGCAATGGTCGACGCCTACAAGCGGACTTCTCTGACACATCTGCACCCCACGGAGCGAGGAAACCTCATCCCGGGGACGTTTGAGAACACAATGGAGATGAGCCTCTATGCGGCATTCTCTATTCCACTAATACACGGCTGGCTGCCATCACAAACGGACCCTGCGTACAGCGCCCTGGAACGGCAGGCTGGCTCATATGAAGACGTGCAGAACTTGTTGTTCCGCGAAGAAGAGCTCGAGGAAAAGCTTGCTTCGCCTACTGGGCTTACGGAGGATGAGCAGCAGCTATACCAAGACATTGTGACTATTAAAATGTTTTTAAGCGCATCAGCTACTCAACTGACGGCGTGGGGCATCGAAGTCATAGGAAAGGCGATGCGCCCAGGCACGTTTGCCATTCTTTTTCGAAACGATCACTTCAGCACCTTGTATTGTCACCCGCAAACACTGCAGCTGCTCAGTCTTGTGACTGACGCCGGCTACCGAACCCACGATGAAGTTGTCTGGGAAAGCCTCGTGGATGTCAATGGGGAACGGACCGAGTACTTGTCCGGGGACTATCGTCTCATCGGACTGACGCATGAGGCTGGACCAAGCACCAACCTGAACAGCTCGACGACTGACCACGGCGGCCAGTGGACAACCGTACAAAACAAGCGTGGCAAGGGAAGACAGCAGGATGAAGAGACGGGGTCGGCAGTCTCGCCGCACGAGCAAGAAGATCGAGATTTGGCGCTTGCCTTGCAACTCCAAGAGGAAGAGGACCAAAAACATCGCGAGGAACAGGCTCGCCGTCAGCGAGAGAGGGCCCTGTCTGAGCAATACATTGAACAGCAGGGCCACCGGCCTGCCCCCGTCAACCGAGATCGAAGGCGCACTTCTACTCCCGGACACGGCGGCATCGCCCCGGAAAGGCGTAGCTCGAATACCTACAGCGTCCCGGTTACAACAAGCACATCGCACCCGCAACAATCTGGCATCTCGCAGCCTCTGCAGCCGCAGCAGCAGCAGGCACCAGTACAACAACAAGTCGTCAGGCCGCTTGTACCGCCCCGTCGGCCCGGCGTGACTCGTCGAGCAGAATCGAATGGAGACGACGCGCCGCCGTCCTATGAGCAGGCAGCGCAAGCTGCGGCTTATATCCCGCCCGTGGGACACCCGAGCCACTCGCAGAGTAGCACGGCATTATCTAGGCAGACGTCGGCGAGCGTCGAGCCATCTGCTGCTGCCAGTCAGGTCCAGGGCGTTGCCGGTCAGCCGTTGATATCAGTCGACCCGCCTACGAATTTCGTTCCGGGTTCGCACAGCCAGCGGGCGTCCATGTCATCCAGCTCGAGGCGACAGGCTGTGGGCCACGGCGGGCGAGACAAGGATTGTGTGGTGATGTAGCGGGTTCCGGTTCGTGGCAGTGGTGTCGGCATGTTATGAGTGACGAGACGAGGCATTGATGATTGTCGCATGGCGTATGGTGTATATTACATTGGCTGATTGTGTTGGTTGGAATGCTTGGGTAGTCGTAGTCACCAAGAGGAATCCATCACAATGACTTGTTTTTCTTTTTTCGCAATGGTTCGTATTGAGGGTGAATAATGTCGTTTGCAGTGACGTGCGGACATGTGTGGTGATTGCCTTTTAGCATTTTGTTGGGATAACTCTGCTTTATGAAGTGCTGCTCGATGTGGAATGCGCGATTACACGAACTGGGACGCGAGGAGGTGCTCTTGGCATGCGGATGATGCTGAATAAAGGAAATGGGCGGGAAATAAATGCTGCTTAACAGAAACTCTCACTATCGCACCGAGGGCCAAGACGAGGGCACGACGTGGGCTCGACGTGGGCTCGACGTGGGCATGACGTGGGCATGATGGCTAAAGTGCCGCGCGGGGGTCGCCAGGCCCATCGATCGGATATTCGCGCCCCGCGATCCGTCTGGTGGGCTCCAAAGATGTTTCACTGTTTCACTGTTTCACGGCCATGTCGCTACATATACGCGGCCCGTGGGGAGCCATTGGAGTGGGAGAAGGAGACAATGGGATTGAGCATGTCAATGCCTTGTGCGGGGATCATGACAAGTGGCTGGTGGGACGAGGACGCCACAGGCACCGCGACCCCACTTGTCGTCCGTCAACAGGGGTCACCTGCTTTCCATGTGCAAGTCATGGCCACAACTTGCAAGTCGAAACCACCTCGGGCGTGATCGTGACCTTCATCTGCGGCTGGACCACCAACTGATGCCCTGGGCGCTTTTCTCTCTTCTCAACTGCTGGTACGTGGGCTCGCGGGAAGCCGTCCGCGGTATTTAGAAACGTCGCGCGCCACCGCCATCGCATCTCGGCCGACGCACCAACCGCCAGGACTCGAGACTCAGGACTCAGGAGTCGAGAGCTGCCATGGCCATTGTCGAGGGCTGGTACCCTCCCACGAGGGAGAACTGGCAGACGACGGTGCTCATCTTCCAGATACTCTACCCTGCTGTACGTCGCCCGTCGACATGACCCCCCGTTGGAAGCTGGATGCTGCATACTTGAGTACTCTGTGAATGACGCCTGTGAGGAAAGCTAACGCGGGCCTGTACTGTAGCTCTCGCTCATGCAGCTCTTCATCTCGTGGTACGGCATGGGCAAGACGTCGGTGCGCAGCGCCTTCAACCTCCCCGGCCGCGTGGCCTGGGTGCTCATGGAGATGCCCGGGTTCACGACGGTGCTGTACATGATGAAGACGCTGCCGCGGATGCACGGCATCGACGACCTGCCGTGGCAGAACCGCGTGCTGGCCGGCCTATTCGTACGCCCTCCCGTCCCCTCTCTCCCTCTCTCAACGTTATGGGACTAACTTTCCCTCCTCAGGTCATCCACTACATCTACAGGGCCGTCGTGTTCCCCCTCATCCAGCCGTCCATGTCGCCGATCCACGTGCTCGTCGCCCTCATGGCCGCGGGCTTCCAGGTCCTCAACGGCGTCGGCATCGGCGCCTGGCTCGCCGCCTACGGGCCCGTCACCGCCGAGGCCTGGGCCGCGCGCTCCTCGGTCGCCCAGTTCTGCGTCGGCATCGCCATCTTCTACGTCGGCCTGGCGGCCAACTTCTTCCACGACGAGGAGCTGCGCGAGATTCGGCGCGCCGAGAAGCGCCGCCGGCAGCGGGTGCTGGACAAGCAGGGGGGCGCGGGGGGCGCCGCCAGCGTCGAGAAGCACTACCAGATCCCGCAGGCTGGGCTGTTCAAGCACGTCCTTTATGCGCACTACCTGTGCGAGTGGGTGGAGTGGTTTGGGTTCTTGGTGGCCGCTGGCTGGGGGTGCGTGCCTGCCTGGACCTTCTTGGTCAATGAGGTCTTTGCCATGCTGCCGCGGGCCGTCAAGGGCAAGAAGTGGTACGTCGAGAAGTTTGGGGAGGACAAGATTCGCAAGAGGTGGGCGGTTTTGCCGGGCGTTGTGTAGTCGTGGTATCGGGGCGTGGTGTGATGGAGTGAAGGTCTGTGGTCCATCAAACGTCGGTTGTCTAGAAGCGAGCCGGTCCGGCTGTGCTGCCAAGTCTCGACTCTAGCAATATGTTGTTGCTTACTACGACGTCGGGGGCATATTCTTCCCTTGGCTGGCACCGAATCGACTCGCGGCACCTCTCTCAACGCAATGCCAAACGCACGCCACATCCTCTAGTAAGATATATATCCAAACGCTTGGCAAAAGTCAACCAAGGCAGGGAAATCAGCAAACGAAGATACTCATCATATTCTTGTATTAAAAATGCTCTAATTCTATTCATCTTTGACACACCCCTCTCCGTCCAAACCACGCAGGATAGTACCCGAACCAAAGCGCCATTCTACAACTTGTTCTTGTAAAACGCATCCACCCACTCCTTCATCTTGGCGACCTCGGCGTCAATCACCTTCCTGGCGCCCGGGTTCGCCTCCGCATTCCGCATAAGCATGTCGTTGCAGTGTGCCGCCTTGGGGATCACGTACGACGGGCGCTCGTCGTCGCCGCCAAAGGGCCCGCCGGGGCGAAAGTCGGACTCGACCGACGCCGAGCGCCACGGGTCGTACTCGCCGTTGATCCAGATGAGCCGCGTGGTGTTGACGTTGCCCCAGCCGCCCGTGCGCCGGTTGACGTCGTCGGCGCGCACGCCCTTGACCATGCCGACCTGGTGCCCGTTGACCTCGGGGAAGTAGATGGGGCACTGGGCGCGCCAGTAGTCGATGTTGTACAGCGGCGCCGGGTATCCGACCGTGGAATCGGGCGAGCCTACCTGCCAGTATTCGAAGCTGCGTGGTTTCGTCAGGAGAGAGAGTACCATGGAGAAGGGGAGGGGGGAGGGGGGGAGGACGCACGCCTCGTTGCAGAGGAACCACATCCATTGTCGATTGTAGGGGTTCTCGACCGTGGTGTTTGTGAAGACGGGGTACGAGGCGTTGTGCGTGTTGTAGCACGCCTGGGGGGGATAATCATCCCACACTCCGGAGCAGGCTGGTTTTGTTGGGAGTTAGGACGACGATGCGCGCGCACCTCCGGGCCGGGGTTCACTTACCTCCGTCACCGGGGAGGACGTATTCGCGCCAGAACCGAGCGAGGCCCTTGAGGCTCTGGCACAGTCCTACGCCCTCGGGGCCGGGAATGGTGCCGTTTGTGCCGTTTGCGTTGCCGGTCTGCCCGTGTTAGTCTGACCGCCTGATACTGGCGGAATGCACGCGGCCAACACGCACCTCCATGTAGTCGCACATCTTAAAGGTGTCGGTGTACCCGCTGTAGAACTGCTGACTCTGCCAGCTGCCCAGGGCGCCGTCGACGGCGCTCACAAAGTCGTCGTCGGCGATGTTGTCAAAGCCAAACTTGCGCTTAAGCCCGTTCTTGGCCTCGGCGGTCCCGTTGGTCAGCACCCTCTGGAAGTGCGTGTTGATCTTCTTCAAGTCGGCGCTGCAGTTTCTGGGCAGGGCCTCGTCGATCGGAGCAAAGTACTGCCAGTAGTCGGCGACGGCCTCGACGACGGCGCTCGAGCAGTGGTACGCCCAAAAGGTGCCCGGGGCGAGGTGGTGCGTCCACGCCGTCAGGGCGCCCGGGTACGAGCAGCCCGAGAGCACCCAGGGGGCCTTGTCGGGCCGCGAAGAGCCGTCCGGGTCAAAGGGGAGCTCGACCGTCTTCGCAAAGTGGACGAGGTCCTGGATGGACTGGTCGAGCGTGAGGTACTGCAGCGTCTCGGCGGTGAGGTTGGGGTACGGCGAGCTCTGGCCCCAGTAGCGGTGCTCGAGGATCAGGGCCGCGCCGCCGTTGGTCTGGGCGAAGACGCCGGGCAGCGTCAGGTTGGTCGTGTACCCGACGAACCGGTCCGAGGCGTACTCGCCGGGGGCGTTGAGGACGATGGGCGCGCCGGGCCCGCGGTAGAACTCGGCGTTGTACCAGTACCGCTGGGTAAAGGTGCCCAGGGACGGGTTCGAGTGGTCAATGAGCTGCTGGAACGTGGCGGCCTTGATGTTTGGGTTGGTCGCGTTGGTCGCGCGCCGAGCGAGCCCGTTGTGCCCGGCGTGGTAGGCGTCCTCTGGAATGGGCGGGATGTAGCCAAGTTCCTGGCTGGCACGGAGGGCGTTTACACATGCCGGCGCCGCGAGGGCCGCAAGGGCGGCGGCGACGAGGGAGATTGGCATCGCGCAGGCTAAGACGGTCCTGTCTCGGATGCGAGCTCTGGCCTTGTCGTTTTTTGCTTGCCTACGAGCGAGCTGCAGACTGCTGCAGAGCACTGGCGAGCTGGACACATGGTTTTATATAGTTTCTCAGGGAGTCAAAGTCCCCTCTTGGCATGCGACTTAGACGCCGTGCTCAGTAATAGCAAAAACGACTCGCCACGGGCGCGTGATATGTGATCGTGGGCCCGGCGGGAACGCCCAAGGCACCTTCTGAATACAGAGAGCGATGGCCCGGGCTGCGGCAGTATGCATCCTTGGGATCCTTTGTGGCGTCGAATGAATCCGGGACTCTTTTTCTCGTCCTTTCGTATGCTCTCGGGGTTGTTTGAGTCGTTGGGCCTGGTTGGGGTTGAGTAGACGGCGGTTTGCATGTCGACCCCCTGCAAGGCCCAGACAGCGCAACGTGTAAAGCACGGGCTGGTGCCCAATGGATCTTGGAGATTGGCCATGGTCAAGGAACTGGTTCCTCCCCGTTCCCTTGGGCAGGAAAAAGGCCCAGCCTGAACAGGATGGTAACATGGATGAACGGACGAACGGGTGTTCACCTTCCCAAAGAGGAAGCGTGCGGGAAGTGGAGCCGATCTGTGCGGCTGAGCGGCGGTGTGCCGCCGGGCTTGACAGGGTCCGAGGTACGTATCTGTCTCGAACGCGAGCGACAAGGGCCTCGCAGCCTCCCGTGCTGTCCGATTCTGGACCGGCGGCAGGCGGCAGGTTGTAGGGCGTTGAGGAATGCATCGCTGTGTGCTACCAAGCCCCAGGTGAAACATGAACATTGTGCAGTGCAATGCCGCCGGCGCGGGCTGCAGATGGGCACGACCGACTGCCCGGTCCTTGTCCACAGTTCCGTCTACGCGTCCCGTCTCAATCCACGGCGTCTGTGCTCCGTGCCGTAGCAATCCGCAGCAATTGACACATTGCCCTCCGGCTTCGCTCTGTCTGCGTCCCCACGGTGTAGAATTGCGTCAACGAACAAAGGGCGCATTCCCCAGATGGGCCCCATCGTCGTAGTACAGGTGGCTTGTTGGAAGCTTGGCGATCGGGCACGGCGTGGAAGTGGCAAGCCACATGCGGGAGGCTCCGGGCTTGGCCTAACTTCTACGGTACATAAATACCTCCCTGGCCAAAACGGTTAATACGAGTGGCGGTTCCCCCATTCGTCCTCAAAGCGTGGCCCGCCGTCTGCCCGAAATGGTAGGTGTAAGTCGTAACAGACAAGCCAGTATTTGGTAAAAGCCATGTATCCCGGGCGCTAACCTGCCTCCCTTGTGACATGTCGGATGGCAAAGAGGGCGCGGGGAGTCGTGCATTGGTTCACAAGGCTGTCTGTGGACGGGGAAACCGACGGCCTTATGCAGGACGCCGCTCGCCCAGCTCTCTCGACTTTGCATCGTTGTAGCGTCAATCAAGGGCGCATGTTGGCATTGCTCTTCAAGGGAACCACGCTTGTACTGCGAGGCCAAAGGGCGTCGCCCTCTTGCAGTGACAAGTGAGGCATGAGCATGAACATGAGCAGGTACGTCACTCAATGTAACTTCTCTGGGTTTACATTCAATAGAAACTCGCAGCTGAGGAGCAATAAAAGTCCCATGGCCCACTTTGTTTATTCTAGACGGCTTCGTCGTCCCGCAGCCTCCATGGGAAGCCTCGACGGACGGGCGTGTCGACGGACAGCCTCTGCTATGTATGGTGTTCTCCTCCTCCTTCCAGCAGACATAAACGGAACAGATTGCCCATTATGTTGACAACCACAAAACGTAGCATGAGCCCAGCACTACGTGTCCGAGCAGTCTACTCGACGACCAACACACAGAGAGCATTACCTGCTGTTCGTTTCTTGCGTCGACACCGGACCCTTGAACGTGCCATTTGCAGCGGGAGATGCACCCTTCCTGTCCAATACCAATACTTGTATATTCTCTATCTGTCTCTAAACACAAAACACACTTGAACTCTATATCCTTATATTTCCGCGCTTCTTGCGCTCCTTGCGCCCCTGGCTCGTCTTAGAAACCTTTCAACTCCTTCTCCATCTGCTCAATAGTCATGAACTCCGAGTCCCTGCGCCTCCTGTCAACCTCATCAACAATGGGAGTGTTGAACTCGGCATGGAACTCATCGCCCGCGACGGGCAGTGCATTGCCCTCGGTCTGATCACGTCCTTGGCCCGCCGAAACAGCAGCACCAGCCAAGTCCCGTGCTTTTTGTCCCCCGGCACCATTCTCGGCAGTGCCGCCGCTAATGGGAGTACCAGGTCCGGTAGAGGAAGTGTTCGTGGCCTTGCTGGCATCGTTAGAGCGCGTGGCCCGTCGAATCTTGCCGCCACCTACAACATGTCAGCTGGCATCGATGAGAGGCAAGTTTGGTTCCATACTCACAAGCCTTGTCCGTAGCGGCCGGCGCACCGGCCCTCTGGACCTTGTTCTCAAACACGCATTTGCTCCCTATTTCACGCACCATGCAGTTTGTGCATGCCCGGACCCCTGGCAAAACAGTGCAGGTTCTAAAATTATCACTGTTGTTGTCGTCTTTGCAGTTGTTGCAGGGAAAGTAATCCAAGCTGTTCCTGCGTTTGGGCATGACTGCCGGTATACACTGCAGCGCCGAGGTTTGCTATCTTAGTGGAAGCAGGGAGTTATATTCCAGCTGTCGCCTAATGCCGCAGGTCGCTCTAGGATTCGTCGTGTCCGAAGAAAGGTCTCACTTGGGTCTGTGACGGCGCAAATGCAGTATATCGTGCAAAGTCGTTAAAGTTGGCGGGGAAGGCAGGTACCATTTTCCGAATGACTTCTCGGAGTGAGTTGAAGACTTGCATCGTTGCTAAATGGCCCGCGGGAGAGGACGTTATATACTCGACGGGCACGCTGAACAGGCAAATCTTCTGTTCACTCATTCACGTAGATGCAGACCTAATGACAAAATCGCAGAAGTTTATGAAGACCTGTAGAGCTGTGACGGGGGGAAACGCGATGCGATGTTCGACTCGAGTTTGGGGGGGGTGTGATGGAGGACTTTGCAGCACGGGATTCACTTGGCTTTGTTGGATGCCAGAGTCGACGGGCCATTGTCGATGGTGCAGTGTCTATTGTTGCCCGTCTAACGTGACTGCTGTCTCATGCTCATCCGGATGGGAGGAATGGGCTCTTTTGTTGCCAGTATCTCTTTGTTCGTGCGCGAGGAGTGTCCATTCACCACATTTATGTATCGGTACGCTCGGAACTGCCGATGGCGAAAGTGAGTACATGCTCCCCTTGGCTGTGCATCCCCCCTTAACCAGGGATGTTGATGGTATGGGAGCAGAGTTTAAAGAATGACTCTGCAGAACGTCTGTCTATAGCGTACCGTTATGAACGATGAAGTATCGTTCTAGCTCTAGCTCAACTGGGGTTTTTGCCAGAATCACGGCCATGTAATCCGTCAGGGATGATGGATCGCGAGGTTAAAAGCGTGGACACAGCGTGGGAGCAATGTTCACACAAGAGGATGATCCCCTCATTAAATTAAAAGGAGAACTTGAACTCTCCTGGGCAGAGATTCACGCCCGGCTTAGCCACAAACTGCCTGGCGTTTAAAAGAGGTTCTTCAGGTTCACTACTATATAAGATTAAAGTGCCGTGGGTAATCTTTCGGTGGTGTTTGCTAGATCACGTCTAATTTCAGCACCTAAGAAGGGTTTTTCAGCCGTTCTACTTTCGTTATCGTGTGTGCAGGACTGTATAGGCGTCCAAGTACCAGCGCTACTCGCCGCATCGATTCAGTTTGGTTCAAAATGCCAGGGAAAATCCGACATACCCCTTGTCCTCACCCGCATATATTCAGCTCCCCACGGTGGCAATGCCTGTCATCACAACATGAATTTGTACCTATTTCTTGCTCTTGTTGCCTTTTTCCAGGCACTATCGCACGTAAACGTGGTGACATGTCCGTTTGCTGTGTTTTTAAAGTCTGTTTATGAGACGTGTCGCAGATACAAGAATCGGCCCCAAAGAGGACTTATAGCGAAGCGTATCAGCCCCTTATGAGCGGCAGGGTTATATCAATAAAATTATTGTCAATCTGCCGAGCGACAGATGGCGCCAAATATCTCGGTTTCCATGTGCACGTGTAAAGGTCATTTTTGGCCTGCAAGGACACTTCTAAACACCAGGCGGGTAATACACCAACACCCTATCCTACAAGACGTAAATGTAAAGCTCCTTCAGCAAATCTCAAGCAAGCAGTCAAACAAGGGCTCTTCCATGCTAATTTTGTGCTTCCCACGGTCTATGCGATTTCTGATTGTGTCCCGGGGCCACAACACCACCCACGAATAAGTACATTGGTTTCTGGGTCTTGCAGCTCCTTTCAGCTAGAGGCCCATTGAGAATCTGGACAAGGTTTCGTCTTTTGTGACGGTCCGAAGCCCGAGCAATATCTTACTTTGTGTGCTTCAGTGCTTTCACTCGTACCAGTGCAATTTCAATCAGCTCGTAGGTCTGGCGCCCAGGCTTTGTGTCGATGCAAGTACTGGAAACAGTGAACAAAAGCACCGGACCACAAACGGCTTTATTTATCGATCCTGTCCTTGGAAAGACGAATGTGTTTGACAATCGACAGACGTTGGTTTTTGGATGGACCTGTAAGAACTCGTCCAAAGTACAAGGGTTAGGGTTGTGCAGAAAATGCGGAGGCGTCTTCTGCACCAATAGCAAAGCGATGTGCCACATTGAGCACGTCTAGCCGCAGGAAGGATGCCGAGCCGCGTGTGCCCAGCCTCTATGGCTCACGGCTCACAGTGGGTACCAGCCCCAACATTGAAGCGGCTTTGGCAACTTTGAAGGGTCAAGTCAATTATTGACCCCACGGGGGTGTTCTGGGACTGAACATGTCAATGCAGCATACCAGGCATGTCTGGTCAATACAATGCTCATCACTCATTGGGTACGGCATGGTTGCCTCCATGCGAGCAAGTTCCGAGCCCCGAACACACGGTCCCCATGAGCCTCGTCCTTTCTGCGCGTCCTGCAGGGATGACCCGACCATGTATGCACAACTGTTTCTAATAAAGACGTTTGCATTACTTTTGAGTTGTCGCAGGAATTGTGCGTAAAGAGAATGGCAGCATGTTTCTCGCGGAAGCTGCCGAGTAACCAGTAAACAACGGCTCAAGTGCAATTAGCAAGCCTGAGCCATTGACCAGAAGCAAGACTCGGGCATCCCAAAAGGACACTGCCATGGTGATTTGGCAATGCCATGTGTCAATTTTTCGCACTTGGACGAGAGGAGTAACCAGAAATGTTCAGTTGGTGACAGTCCATAGAAACATGAATCGGTCTTAGGGTCTTGATCTGAAAGTGTTTTTGTCACGACGACGATATGCGGTAGCGGATATAAACATGGTGGCAGGGTCCCGCTACCAGGTATTAGAGCACAGGACGGGAATTGCCAGACGGGCATGACACCTTGGCTGCAAAGGAGGAAAGAAAAGGTCGCCGACACCCATCGTGACTAAATCGCCCTTGTGATGGGATGGTCTTGGTCGCAAGTGAAGTTGCATCTTGCTCAGATCTCGCAGATATCAGGCCAACCCACATCTAGCAACCCTTACCCCCTACGTACTGCCTCAGCCTTGATTCTCACCCATTTCTACTCTGTCGTCAAATAGGAATCGATACAAAGTCCAAGAAACTTCGTCTCGTGGACCCTGAACCTTCTGAGACGTCACCAACCGTGGTCATGATGCATCGCCCAAGCACCGCGGCTGCCTAGACAAAGGGCCAGATCTGCCTCACATCATTCAAAAGAAACAAAAAAAGAGGGGAGCTTTACTTGAGTACTTCTCTCAGATCATGAACACCCGCCTCGTTCCTTTGCACTGCATCTATTCGCCAAGCATGACAATAGTAGGCTAGCTTCGAGTGCCCGTGTCGGTTGTAAGTCATCTCTACGCAATAGTCTCCCTCATTCACCCGCCGCCCCATGAGCCACGGCCATCCTCCCCAATGTCAACCATCGTTCGATCAGTGCTCTTCCAGCGCCGCCGCCGCAGCTCCGCTTCCCGTCCACCAAGCGCTCAGCACAGCAACCAACATCCTCGCAAGAAGCCTGACGGCGCGTTCACAGATGAGAATGCACCCATCGCCGCGCCTCCGATGCCCGTGCCGTGCCCGTGCTTTGATGAGAAAAGCCTGTCCTTGCTCTCTCCGGATCATGATTGATACTTTGCTCAGCGCCGCCAGTGAATTGCTGCTCCCCGCAGATTCGGTTAATGAACTACCAGGCGCTGAAAGACAATGACGCGCCCGTGTGCCACGTCCACCGACAAAGACGAATTGGTCGAGGGCGAAACGTCAGCAGGGGGCCTGGACGAGGAGGATGCGGGCGAGCATGCGTCAGGGGACGCCGAGACCAAAGCGACTAGGGGACGTACAAAAGACAAGTCGGACATTAGGGGACGATTCTCCGCGTGCCCGGTATGATTTCCGAGTACGCCGTATTGTCACGAGCAAGAGAGGCGGAAATCGAGTGGTGATGCGTGTATGACGGGCGGGAAACGACAAAGAATGGGTTGATAAGCCGAGCATGTTGATGGATGTTGGTAACTTAGTAGACATGTAGGGACATGCGAGCTTATGATTAAGTTGAGACAAATTAGATATAGACACAAATCAGATAGTACACACACAGCAGATGATACAGACATGACGGTAGTCACAAGGCAACACATATTGAGTAGAGTTGCTGGTGCCATCGCACCAGCCCGATATCGCATTCATCGCCCCTGACCACAAACTATACTACTAGTTGTACATGACCTGTCCCGACAGACGGGTTTGGCGTCATCAAGCATCTTGACAAAAGATATTCCACGCTGATCTTCTCAGGTCCGCTATTTGCAGGTGTAAAAAGTTCGCCTCGGCCAAATACCCCTCTCTCCGCAACGAAGCCGCATTTTGTAAGAGGCCACCTCCACGGGGGGTAGAGGGTCCAAACGTCATCTCCTTTATAGTCTCCCTCCCTCCGAGTCTTGGATGGCGCCCATCTTCGAAAATTCAACCACGAACAATTCCGCAGAGTTCCCTAACCGTAAACCGTAATAAAGTATCACACAGCCCAACACCCGAAGCGTCAAGGCCGAGCAAGAGCCCACGGGTCAACACAAAACGACAGAAATGACAGACTTGGCGAGCAAGGGCGCTTATGCCTCGATGGCCTGGGCCTTCTTCTTCTTCTGCTCCACCTTGAGTAGCAGGGCGCGGTTGATGTGTGGCAAGACACCACCAAAGGCGATGGTGGCACGGATCAGCGTGTCCAACTCTTCGTCACCACGGATAGCGAGCTGTAGGTGGCGAGGAGTGATACGCTTGACCTTGAGGTCCTTGGCAGCATTCTTAAAAAAAGATGGTTAGTAGCTAGTTGTCAAGTCGGGCAGGCAGCAACAGCCCATGCCAACGGCGCATCAGCATGAGTCATCGGGGGCACTTACGCCTGCCAATTCAAGGACTTCGGCAGTCAGATATTCGAGAACAGCGGTAACGTAGACGGCAGCTTTGGCACCAACGCGCATCTTGTTCTGGGTGTTCTGCTTGAGGAAACGCTTGACACGCCCGCAGGGGAACTAGGAGAATTCGGTTAGTCACAGCGCCATTAATGCGGTGATGGTGTCGCGATCCGGAGAGACGGCAAGGTTGAATGGCAGGACCAGGTGCTCATTTCGCATTTCGTTGTCGGCTCAGTTCCCCGCCAGCGCAACACGCGAGAGTCGGCATGAAACATGTCCGTCGCGCAAGCTGTCCTTCGCTCGTGACACGTGAAGCAGTCGATAGAGGGCGAGGCGCAAGGCGATGATGGCAGTCGTCGGGTGTTGCCACAAGCAGAGCGTCGGTCGAGTGACGCGTCGAGATGCCATGGCCGAGTAGCGGTCACGTCGGGGCGGCCACCAAGTTGAGAGACGATGTTGGCGTTCGAAGGGGGGGGCGAATTCGAGATGCGCACGCGAGGAGGACGGACCGACATCGAAGGAAGAGGCGCCATTCTCGGATCGCAAAATACAAATGGCGCACGAGGATAGTGTTCGATGTTTTCTTACCTGAAGGCCAGCACGAGCGGAGTGGCTCTGTTGCTTCTTATGACCCTCAACGCTGGTCTTGCCCCCCGAGCTCTTCCCCCCCGAAGACTTTCCCTTGCCGCCAGGCATGTTGCTGAAATGCGTCGAAAAAAGGCTGAAGGGCGGTGAATTTGGACTCTGCGACGAAAGCTGTGTGGTTCCGCGAGCAAATAACGCGTCGGCACGATAAGGATGGTGGGATGTTTGAGCGAAGATTGGGGGGGTGCGGTCTGGCGGAGCGGCAAAAATTTAGGCTGGGCGGACGAGTGGTGGTGACATGGAGCTGCGAACTGCGAGCTTGCGTGCGGTGTGTTGCTTCGTCCAGCTGGTGTCCCAGAGCAGTGCGAGGGGCGGCACCAGGCAATTTGATGTTTTGTTGTTGTCTGGTCTGCGGAGCGACAGGCGTCACTGTGGCGCGCCGCAGCCTACATAAGCACGGGGCCAGGCCGGCCAGTTGACGGCGCCCAGCAGCCCCGAGCAGCCCCTAGCAGTTGACCCGTGGACTTGGCTCCCAGTGCACATGTGCGCAAGTCGAGGACCACATGCAGCGAACTTTGAAGCTCTCAAGCTGGCTGCGGGTGGTGGATGGGTGGGCCGCCAAGCGCCATACTAGCCAAGGCTAGCTGGCCACTGGTTGGCCACCAAGCACGAGCTTCAGTGTTGCCAGGCTGGACCTTGGTGCTGTCCGGGTGCTGGTTACCCTGTTGCCGTGTCGCCCGCTCTCTGCTGTGAGTGAGCCAATCAGACGCAGCAGAGACGCAAGTCCCCGCTTTTCGAATTTGTTGACAGTCTGGCCGCCCGCATCCGGAACAAGTTTCATTCCGGCCATCTGACCGCCTCCACAACCACGGACAATGTCAATGTCACATGACATGGATCCGGCGGGGCGCACGAGCCAGAAGCGCAGCTCCAGGCGAAGCGAGAGGCGGACAGCCAGGTAGTCGTTCGTAGCAAATTGTGTGATAGTCGCGGCTGTCGTTTCTCTTCAGACGGCGCGCTCGCCATGGCGACCCGGAGTTGGCTCGTCGCAGCTGTGAAGCTGGGGGCGGCGGAAAAGGCGGTGCCCAAGGATCGACAAGAGGCATCAAGCATCAAGCATCAAGCGCCGCCATGACGCTCCATGATGCGTTGCGCCAAGTATCCGTGCCGAAAATGCCACGGCTGCGTTCCTTGGAATTCAGCTCGGGTGGTTTTCAGACTTACCGCAGCTGTCCGGAGCAAGTTCGTACAGAAGCCGCTTCACGCGGGTATCGGCATCTGGAGCAACACGGCTGGAAGCCGTCATCAGCGAAATGTCGTTGATGGTTGCCCCAGACCTAACCCAGGCGGACGGATGCCGTCAGACGCCTCGGAAGCTGGAGCTGCGTTGTCCCGCTGTGGCTTGGTACCCGCCGATGCTGAATCTGGAAGTGCGCAGCCACGTTGAACATCGATCTGTGGCGCTTGATCCATGGCTGATCTGTTCTCTCAAGTCTCAACACCAACAATCATGGCCCGACGTGCGTCGTCGACAAAATGTGGCCGGGCCTCGCCAACGAAAAACGGAGGGGCCGCGTCTCCAGACATCGGTTTTTTGCCATTGTCAAGGCGACGCTATTCTGGCTAAACAAAACTGGCAAAAAGACAGGCCGGGTTTCTGCATGTAGATGCATCAAACATGGAACAAAGAGACGCATTCGAGAATCGACGCTCTCTGAACACGGGCCGGACCAGCCTGCAGAATTTTTCGCCTTGTTCCAATATAATCGCACATCATGCTGGTGAACAAAGTCGGCCTTGGACTCTCCGCGCAAGCTCCCTTCGACCATAGGAACTCTGGATGGTTCAAACGTAAGACGAGTCGAGATTGAACTGCCCATGGATCTTTGACGCTTTTGTTCGACGAGGCACTATTGGAGTATGGCCCTGGACCTTTGTGCTCCAACATAGGATCGAAGAGTACTGCATGACAAAAAGACAATGATCGCCGGCATACAAACCCATCCCATACAAAATTCGTGTTCAGTTGTCTTTCGTCAATATATCCCTTGTCTTTTTCTGCCTTGGGTCCCATAAACCGACGATATGACGGTTTCTTAGGGCTGTTCTGCAACGCCCTCCGCGTCATTCATCGCACAGCCGCCTGTATGAACAGCACTATTCACCCCAGAATCATTGCTCTTTATGAAAGCTCACATACCCCTGCCCTTCCTTTGACCTTTGCCTTGAACTGCGCGTCTTCTTACACCTACAGACCATACGCAAAAAGAAACAATCGCAGCTTCACCAATGCACAATCGACACATAATATTCGCTCGGTGAACTCAACTCATTATGAATCAGATATATAGAACTAGAGCCGGCCAGCAGCCATGAGCTCCTCAATACCAAATACAAAACCCCATTATGCTCATCCACGTCTCGCCCTCGCTCCAGCAATGACAGATAACCCGTTTTTCTTATACCGTCCCGACACACCAGGCACGCTAGGTAAAGCTAAACTCAAAGAGCGAAACTTTGTGCTCCCAAACGAAAAGGTCCAAGACCATGGGCAGCTGCCGCAGTTCATGCCCCGGACCTGGTGGCCATCGGAACGTGATGCGGAAGAAAGCCAGGCCCGGCCTGCACTGAACCTTGCCATCGACTGGCTAGACCCCGCGGCCGTTCATCTGCTCCACGACGACGCGACGAAGACTTACCCTCGTCTGGAGCCAATGCCCCCGTACAAAGACGACGTGTATGACGGATGCCAATGGAAAACACAACTTGCCATCGCGCACAACTTGTTTCATAAAACGCTTCAGAACGGCAATCATGTAAGTGCCATGGAGATGACGGTGCTGGTTCGCATCGTCACCTATGGCATGTTTGATTCCACCACCTTTTTCGCGCCCTTCGTTGTAGACGGTGCAGGCGACGTTCTCAAGTCCCATTTAGACCCCAACCAAGCCGGGAAGCCGCGGGAGCTGAGGCGGCATACAAGGGCCGGCGAACCACCCAAGGACAGTTTCAACCAGCGGGACTTGGACTGGAGCAGGACGAGGATGCGGGCGAGGCGCTGGGTCGTTGTGCCGGTTCTGCATGAGTGCCGCCAATGGAACATGACGATATTTGACCGCGAGCAGGGGCAGCTGTACATCTTTGACTGCGGAGACGACGAGGCCAGGCTCCAGAGGTTCAAGTCGGCCATCCGGGTCTGGGTGTTGTTGTTGGATATCCTCGGCCAGCGGCATAGTTTCCTGTTCTTTGTACCCCGCGTCACGAGGCAGGGCGAGATGGAATCGGGGCCGGTCTGCGTCGCCTGGCTCATGGAAGCGCTCAGAAACCAGGTCGGCGGACAAATGACGTCCCGCGACGACAAGGTCGTAATGGCCGAGATCTCGGACGGCAACCTCTCACTGTGCAGACAATCCGGCGCGCAGGACGGGGACCACTACACCAGTTCTCTGCACTTGCGCGACTGGGTGCCCAAGGTGCCCGAGGGTGAGCGCAGTCTCAAACCAAAGGCTCAGCTGATAGCTGTTCGCAGGATCATCCGCGTCATGGTGGCGAACGAGCTGGGCTTGCGAAACCACCCCGTCATGAAGCAGAGGTACAACAAGGTCGGGGGGCGAGGGGACGATAGGCCATCATCGGCCATTACGCTCCTGAAGGAAGCCGCCAGATATGCTTTAAACACTGGTGACGTGATGGAAGAAGAGAAATACTTCACGGGCCAAGGCGGTCAGCAATTTGCTTTGCCCACGGGGCGGCTTGTCCTGCCTTATGATGCTGAGGCGCCTCGGAGGCACAAGATGCCACGGACAAGCGCCACGCCGGCCATTGATATGGCCAAGGACGGCCTTCGTGGTCCCCCTCGGACGTCCGTCGAGTTCTTTAGAAGCTCGGACGTTCCTGAAATGCGTATCACGAGGAGAAAATCAAGGTTATATAAAAGGCGTGCCCTTGCAGCGCCAGGCAATGACAATGGCTTCAATATCTGGTGAAACAGGTTTGAGATTAGCAGTGGGCCTCATTAGAAAGGACAGAGAGTTGTCAGCATGCCAACACCCAGTATGCCGAGTCTAAAGCACGACCTTGTGCCCTTTGCCGGCCGGCTACATTCGACGCGCCGGGTGCCTGGCTGTTGTTGGAGTCGATGTTTTGATTGCTTTCTTCCGAGTTGGAGAGGAAGTTGAGGTGAGTGGCGGGGATCCATCACTGCAGGCATTGATGTGGTAAATGCCCTCCCCTCACTCCCGCGGGTTACCCTAAACAGGTCAATCGACCTCCGTCCAAAACGCATAATTACTGCGCTCAAAGTAAAGGGAAATTAGTTAGATCAAGTTAATTATAGCTCAGTTTCTCTGGAGAAAAAACATTTTGGACGCATGTCAGTGCTAAATTTCTGCATGGAACGACACAGTATCATGAAAAATGGCAGGCGGAATAGCAGTGAGCCTACAACTGTGGTTCACTAGATAAACGCCGCCATGAGTGCACAATGAATGTTGCGGCGCTGTGAGATCTCGTACAATGATGTGCCCACCTGTGGTACACCATGGCGCCTGGTATTAGGCCAAGTTGTATAAAAATACATCCCGCCGACAACTGCGGTGTGTCTCTACCAACATATGTGATATGTAGCAGAGCTAAACCGGCTCCAAGGTTAAAAACGAAAGAAGGGACGGAACACCTCTCCATTTGAACGGTCTGTATTCCTTGGCTTTACATATCTGGCTGCAACCCGGCCGCGGTTATTCCATCTGGACTTTCTCGAAGCACGGCATGGTAGGACAGAGTAGCCAATGATGATGATGGCGTTCATAGGAACCCGATCTGGGCGGTCGCATAACCGAAGGCCGTGCTCCGATCGCAGGGGGGTTAGAGTCCAAGGACACATGCACAGCATATGAACATGCATGATGCAGCTGCAGATGGACCATCACCCCGTACATGCGGACCGATCAGTGAGTTTAGGGCCGGCCTCTGCACAGGCTCGCCCGGATGCAGTCTGGTTGCGGGATCGTCTCGTCTTTGCCCTCTGCCGTTGCGCTAAAACAGGCGAGAGCTATTCTGGCGATGCCCAGATAAGTGACTGATTGGGTGTGAAATCTCTTGTCGCCGATAATAGCAAAAGTGTCAGACATGTGTATGTACGGAGTACAAACCTGGCCTCGATATGTACGATGAGTACGCCGGAGTCACCAAGCTGCCACTAAAAGTGGAATCAATTCTCCTCATCGCGATATACGAGCATACAATTAAAGAAAGAGCGAGTTGTACATACATAGTACTCCGTAGGTCCCCCAGGAACCCTATTTATAGCATCACAGGTACGTAATTTCTTGTGGCCGGAACAAAAGATGTGCTACTATACATGTACCGAGTGAGTTAAGGAACCATACATGTGTGTGGTGGCTGTGTATTTGGCAGTTGCAGACCTCGACTTAGATAGCGATAACGGCAACCCTATTGCGTTACGGCCTGTTCCCACAGAGATGAGACAAGCGTCACCTTGCAGGAAAAGGGACCAGTCTGTCCATGTCCCGTGATTATGTGATGGTGTGAACCTCTGAGGACGGGGAGGTCGGGTGATGAGTCGGCAGTTGATCCAACTTAGCAAGTGTCTGATGATACTCTGGATGCAGAAGACTCGTTACGGGCTTGGGAGACACTGTTTGTGTTACCAAAGCACAGTGTCTTTACCAACCCAGAAAGGGTTGTAGTATCCCTGCTGTAATTCTTCATCCGTAAGCTCCAGGGTACAGTGTCAAGTTGGTGTTTTACATGGCCACTATGGTCTGTCTGCGATCCCGTACGTACCTATGTATGCTCAGATACCCCAGCGACTATTTTATGCTTTATGCTGGCCTACAACTCACAACGGCTACTCATAACCTGCCACAGGCGGTCAATGAGCGTACAGAGTACGGGGTAGTAGTATATTTGCTTCGCTCCAGGTCGCCACTCACCGACAACGGGGCCAGTCCGCTGGTCAGGACAGGGGCTGAAGGAACTTTGGCGCCAACAACGGGCCATCCCCGCCCCTGTCCCGACGCAACAGTGTCCGATTCGTTGAAGGCTGCTGAGCCGTACATTGCAACTCATTCAGTGGCGATGACTCGATTTCGTTTTCGGCAGTATAAAATGTCCCAACAGAAGAGGGACAAGCTCTCCCTGCATGTTTCGCCGCATACTTCATCGATTATCTTTGATATGGAGCAGGAGCCGGTCGGTCTTTGGGCGAAAATTGCGGAAGGGCTTTGCGCCTAGAAACATATTTGGATGGGCAACATTGACAGACAAGGCGCGACCGGATTGCGTCAAGTTTCCCAACAAGGGTCTTGTTCCGGCAAGGAGGCCGCTATCCTGGAAAAACCAGGGTCTTCCGAATCAATGGCCCATCTTGAAATTGGAACCGGCGGCGGGCCGCATCGCACAGCCAACGCGTGGCAATCGAAAATATGAAAGGTCTAGTTCAGGGGCTGAGTAAAGAGGTGAGGAAATGAATGGCGAGGACGCGAGGAATGGGACTGGCCAACAGACCATATTGGTGCAATCCCCGGGAGCGCGCGAGCCTGTTTGGTATTATTAGAACCATTGCAACCCAAACACGCCAGGGGCGAAAGACGATTCATTTGCTCCCGCGGTACTCGGTAGGTTCGCCGTAAATCTCGAAATACTCCTCCGTACGGAGTAAGTCAATCGGTAAAGCAGCATTTTGGTCAGACAATCAGTGCGATAGGCCAAGAAGCTATAGCGTCCTGGCCTATCATCCAACAAGCCCCGCATAATCAATCTGCCATAATACCACCGTCCCATCAGAAGCTGGTCAACTGCTGGGTACGGATTACTCGGTACCATTTCTCAAGTTTCCGTCGCCGACAATACGAAGTAATAGTTTTTGAGGGACAAAACTCCACAGCCACACGCGGCATACAGGTTGGACCAACACGGCAGCAGGAACTGAAAAAAGAAAAGAAAGACATAATCCTAGTTGCATAGTTCAGTTCTTTTGAAGAAGCTTCTCGGAACCGCAGGCACCCGTATATTGTCCTTTGTTGCACCACTCCGTATTGTACGGAGCAGGCGGTGGTACAAATAGTTGATGGCGTAGAGCGGTGGGGTCGGACGAGCTTTGCTCAAGACAAACGAATAGAGCGAATGACCTAGGCGCTCAATCCTGGTTATTGCACGTGTCTGGTCTCAGGTATCAAGGGCTGGAGGAATGCTCACCAAACTGATATCAACATGATTCATTATCTTGCCGTCTCAAGTTTTCAAAACTTTTACGGGATCAAACGCCGTCGCTCATGCGCCTTTTGCTGAGCAACAAAGCTGGTACCTACCCCTATTCAAGCAAAGCAAGCCAAGCAGGCAGGCGAATGTCGCAGACGGTCTTGAAGCAAGGACATTTACTAGCTGGAAGGGGTCGACCGGTTTGAGGGCCCCGGCATGCGAGGGGCTTCAACTGTCAATCTGAACGCCAGAGACTGGTGTCGATCCCGAGCATCACCTCGGTGCTGGCACTTGGTAGGTAGTTTCACTTCACAGAGCAAAGCAAAACGGGACAAGAGCAACAACAAGAGTGTCGTGCAATCTCTGCCGAGCGCAGAGCACCAAGCGAGGGCATGCATTTGTCGAGGCAAAATCAATTCCCCTCGACACATGATGGCATTTGCCCCATTTCTGGCAGGAGCGAAGGAGACGCCAGTCCGCACATGTGACATCGGCCCAACAGCGCAGTCGATATATTCTGGGATTATCTAGAGTATGGACCACGGATCAGCCAGCGGTTGCTCGTTTGTATCATCAATACACTGTACAGACAAAGAGGCTTCTCGGTAGATGCTCGTAGTGCTGAACCTTGGAAGACTCTCTGCTGCATTAGGACTTTGGAGCAAGAATAATTTTGGAGCCATTGGGCTGCAGAGTGCGGCGGCAGGCATCCAAGACCACGGCCACACAGACACCGTCCGCATTGTGTTGCAGCACCACCCCAGGGTCACACCACTTGCACCCCATGGCCGTATGTACAATGAGAATAATAGTACGGAGTAGGGCGTAATGATAGCCTCTGCTACCTGCGCGTCTTTTTGCCCGCTTGCCCGCTTGCCCCCTGAACTCTCGCCTAAATCGATGCGCAAGAATTGGCTCTCGTGTGGCGTTGCGCGGCCGATGCCTAACGGGGAGAGCGACAGCCAGACTGAAGACGGGGTCTAAACCATCTGATGCTGGGGTGCTTGGTAGGGTCCAAGCCCCGGATGCCCAGATGTCTGGATGATGGCGGCTAGGAGTGGCTAGTGCTGCTTGTGGACAGCGGCTGAGCCCGTCGGTGGTCTCGAGACACTCACGCAGTTGATGACTCCTGATGGTGATGCATCAATGCAGCTTCACACCTTCATCATGCCTCGGCTAGAGGTCTGAATCGTGCCGGTGTCACAGACCCTGCCAAACCTGCGTTGGGTCCGGAGATATTTGCGCAATCACAAGAACAGCCTTGATACCGTGACGAGGAAGCGAAGCAGAAGCTCACAATCGAAATGATATCTGGGTCCAAGCGTGCGGGCGTGCCGCACTCGCACTGTAGCACCAGCCTGGGCCATTGGAGCGGCCAGGCAAACTCAGCTGGGCTCTTTGTTCGCCTGTAGCCTGCATGTACCTGCCTACGGCAAGTGCGGTGGCAAGGTACAAACCACTCCTCATTGGCCCAAGCGCCGAGTCTGACAGTGCGGATATATGCCGCACCGTGTGTTGTAGCCAGAGTGAATAAGTCCAGGTAGTCGTCATTGGGGCAGGGCCCTTTTTTCTTTTCTTCTTGCTTCTCACACTCTGTTGGACATCTTGGTCTTTCGGGAGACGTGAAAACATGCAACTGGAGGAGTCCTTAGAATGACTAGACGTAATAGAGGTTATTGACATGTGCGACGACGGCCAAGCGTGTCTGTTGTGTCAAGCTTGGTTGTCCTCGTCAACAGGTTGCTGGGTTGATGCAAGCCAAAGT